CCCCCCAAACCCATCCACTAACCCACCCCAAAAAAACCAGACCTCCTCCTCTCCCTCTTCGACGTGGAAGGCAACTACTTCCTCGTCCTCGCCTACCGCAACACGACCCTGCTCAGCGCCCAGCTAATCAACTTCTGGGCCATCGCGATCGTGGTGCTAATCTCCTCCACCATGCTCGGCGTGCACTACCACCGCCCGCAACTCGTGGGGATCTGCATCTGCATCACCGGGATGCTCGTCCTCCTGCTCACCGACCGCACCCCGACCACCCCTTCTTCCCAGAACAGACTGCTCGGCGACCTCTCCGCCCTCGCCGGCGCCACCAGCTACGGCCTGGCCAACGTCCTCGAAGAGGTACTGGTGACCACCGCCCCGATTTATGAGGTGCTGAGCCAGATGGCGTTCTCGGGGACCTGCATCACCGCGCTGCAGGCCGTGGCGCTGGGGGAGCTGGCCACTCCGGGTGGTGTCACCGTACTGGATGGGCGGGTCCTCGGGCCCTGGGCCGCGTATACGCTCTGCCTCGCCGCGTTCTACTGTCTCGTGCCGCTGCTGCTGCGGCGCGCGTCCGCCGCGTTCTTCAACCTCTCCATGCTGACGATGAACTGCTGGGGCGTCGTGGTCGGCGTGCTGGTCTTCCGGTACCCCGTGGTGGGATGGGGGTATCCCGTGGCGTTTGGGTTGATTGTCGCCGGCCAGGGGGTGTACTTTCTCGGGGCCGGGGAGGGCGCCACAAGTGGTGCGGGCGGGGGCCAGAAGCCGTGGGTGAGACCCCGCGCGGGGTCTGGTGGTGGAAGCGGCCGGAGGAAAACACGATCCGAGGCTTCGGAGGAAGATCCGTTGCTGTTGCGCCGGGAACAACAGGAAGAGATTTCGGTGGTGTGAGGATGGGTCGAGGCTCCGAGCCAGAGGGTGCTGGGCGCTGGGATTGCCTGGCGGCTTGAGTGAGATGTCTCAGGACGGGACTGGGGGGTTCTACGTATATATGACTGGACGACCGCGACGAGCTCTTTGATTATATAGATGACGATATGCGAGCACGATAGACTAGATTATGAGACCAAGTTAGATATTGAGCTAGACGAGTTTCCTTTCTAGAGGAATATGAAATGTGATGATACACCTCAACTTGTAATATCATTGATCAAGGCGCCGCCGGGTGCACTCTGCCGAGGTTGAAGAGAAGTGTGGAAGGCCGGACCAACATATACGCAGGTAGTCAAGATGAATTTGAGTGAAGCCATTCTCGGAAAGATTTGCGACGCCCAGAAGGACTAGATTGAGGCAGACAGAAGTACATTCTACAGCAGCCCCGCCGCCAACTTCCGTGAAGAGTATCCCATCCACACCCCCCTAAGTCAGGTCAATACGACAGACATCCTGGACCTTAGACACCAGAACCATACATCACAACGAAAGTTATACCCGTATGACAGAACACAAATAGAAATATCAACCATAAACCTATCAACAAACAGAACCACAAATTGGAAACATAAGACAATCCAGAAAACCTCGGCAGATCGACAGACTCCAAACAGCTCTTTTGATAATGTTTGCCCTGCTCCCCGGTATTCCTTTTGCCATTGCCATTGCCAGAAAAAACCAACAACACAGAACAACCAGACTGAAAATAACCCCTTTTCGTACCCAGAGAATCGAAAGAAAAACGAACACCCCATGACGAAATGACAAAATGACCCAACATGCTATCGGCCAAACTCACCAATCACAACCAGACCCGAACAAGAAAACCAACACCTGGAACCCCCCAGAGATGAGCGGGAAACAAGAGCCCGAGAAAACATACACCCCCACAGCCAAACAAGGTAGATACAATCACCCCAAGAGACCCCCACCCCTGAAGTAGTGGTGGATCGATGAATTGGTGCCCAGTGAAGCGACCACCCATGATCATGATCAACAGATGCGACACCGACAAAAACAAGAAACCCCAACATGATGCCACATAACACAAAGGGGAATACCGACTCCAGAAACCAACAGGCCAATCCCAAAGTTCCCTAGTCAGTAGAACCAACCATGTACCGAATTAAACTGACTGTCCACATGTGACCGAGCGCTAGACAAAAATATTAATCAAGAGGTGTGCGTGCGACCCACTTCTTTCAGATATGTATCATGCTCTTTCCCAATAGTCGAATCAAAGATATGTCCCTCTCTTAGAACGCCACAGTACAAAAGCGAACACCCGTCCAAAGGAATAATGTTGTAAGAAGCGAACCAGAGCTGGTGGCAGTCGCTTAGCCCCAGACAGAGGCCTGCACGCCCAAGCCGTTCTTCGATCCCCACACGCCACTGCCGTTACCCCAGCCCAGGGAGACACCACCGCCCGTGGTGTCCTTGACGCCGGCCGTCGCGGCGGCGGCGGTTGAGGCGTTGGAAACCGACGAAGCACGTTCGCTGGTAGTAGCATCACCCGAGGTGAAGCCGAATCCCAGGGGAGACGGAAGGGGGGTCGTGGAACGCTTGTTCAGGGCCGGGTTGGAAGCCTGGCCGGCACCGGTCTGTTGAAGAGGCCGGCTGCCAATGGGTCCCACAGAGCCGATGGGGCCGGTCGCCGACTTGGTCGATGCCTGTCTCGAGGAGGGAGAATCGGCGCCACCAGGAGACGAGGTTGAAGTTCCGGGCTGATCGGCAGTCTCGTACTTGCCAAAGACAGGGTTAATGCCTGAGCTGGGAGATGAGGCGCTGTTGGCGCGCGAGGGTGACTGGAGGGAGGCGGCGGCGGCGGCGGCGGCAGCAGCTGCCTGAGACACGCCATCAACACTCCCTTGGACGGGAGTCTGCGCTAGACCAAAGGGGTCGGCACCGCGGGGAGACGGGCCACGAACTCCGGTGGCAGAGGTCGGGGTCCCACCGGCCTGGCTGTCGGAACGAGGGTTCTCATCGGTCAAGGTTCCAGGGGGGAAGAAGGCGGGGCTGTCGTTGCCGTACAGGGCCCTATGCTGACGAGCCAGAAGCTCGCGGCGACTTTCCTCGCTCATGGCGGCTGGGCTGAGCGAGCGATCGGACTTGGTTCCAGACATTTCGGCAAGCAGGCCTTTGAGAGAAGCAGAAGAATTAAAACCATGTTCAAAAACTGGAACCATGTCCCAATGTAATATACAAGCCAGCGAATACACATATGGGCAGAGAAGATCATGGGGGGAATAGTGGAGGAAGATGCGGGCGAGAAAGAAAGAAAGAGGCTCCAAAGACAAATGCTACCACGTACTTCGGTTGTACTGTTGCTCCTGGTGATAGTTGCGGAGCTCCCTCTCACGCTGTGCTGCCATCCGACGCTTCGCTTGCATCATCTGCTCCACTTCATTGGGACGACCCTGGAATCGTTGCGAGGCATAGAAGCCCTGGAGGGAGGGATTCGGGTGCATCCGAGAATCGAACTCGCTGATCGAGTGATGACGCTGCGATATCGCACCGGCCATGCGGGGATCTACCACAGTACTGTTCAGAATGGGCTAACTTCTAGTAGGGTGTATTCATGGAATCATACCGTAGTCGGGGTACGGGCGACCCATCATCATGGGCATCGAATCTCTCCGGGGCGCGGCCCAGAGCTTTCCACTCTTGACGAGATTGTCAATCGCACGGTCGACCTCTGTTGGAAGTCAGCACCACTCCACTTTTTCTCCCCTTTTTCCAAAAAGAGATTCCACTGTGCCTGCAGACCGCAAAAGAACACATCTGCAGTGGGAAATGTGCGTACCATCGAACTGAGAAGAGAAGGCCGGGATTTCATCGCGCTGGGAGACGGAGCTTGATCCTGCAAGAGAGCACCGGTGTAAGCCTCGCTGAATTCCTGCCGGCAAAAAATCGTTGAATGTCCTGTCAAGCATACCTGATCGCGACGGGGGAGCCGGCTGTTCCCAGGAGGCCTGGCGCGTAGGAGGGGCTTGCCAGCCCTGGGCCTCGTAGTAGGACGCCATTATTTAGTTGATTTGGGGACCGCGACGGACGGAACGGACGGCGTGAAGCGGAACGAAAGGTTGGCGCTTGGAGGCAATCAGGAGAGGCCTGTGTGAAGGAGATGAATGAGCATGAGGTCCAGAACACCTAAGCAGCGCAGCCAGTGCATTGACAAGTGATTGCAGACGACGGAGAAATAGGCGGATGAGGACGGGGCGAAAGTCCAAATAAACGGGCCAGGTGTCCGAGTCACCGCACCGGGCAGATAAAAATAAGAAAAAAAGGCGGGATGGCGACCAGCAATGACATCGATCGGAGTTATTCTTAGATCCCTCGGAATGACCCTTTCCCAAATATCAAACTTCAAACTTTTCTTTCGAGTCTCTTCCACATGGCATCCTCGGGATTCATTTGATCTTTCGCATTGCGGATATGACAAGCGGACATGGAGTGAAGGGGTCGACGTATTGGATCTGACCGAGTTGGATGGAAGGCGTAGTTGATGAGGTGTGGTGAATTTTGCCCTTGACCGTATTGTGGACGGCGGACCAAAAAAAAAGACAAGACATTGTGCTTCGGGATTGTCAGGCAAGGGGACTGACTGGATGGTTACTCACAGAAAAAAGGAGTGAATGCACTCTCAATAGGATCTACCACGAGTGAACGAGGCAGAATGGCAAGCAGTGACCGACAGCAACTTCTCACCCTTCAGGCACGACAGACAGATTAAGTCTGGCGTGAGAGAAATGAAGAGGGTTGGAGAAGGCGGGGGGGGGGGGAGGAGAGAGTGGGTGGATGAGGGAATTAAGGACGGAGGATAGAGTGGAGGGGGAGAAGGGAAAGGGAAAGGGAAATGGAAAGGGAAGGAAAAGATCGGGTAGCAGAGGAGAAATGCAATCGTCCCAAACCGAGAAGAGAGAGAGAGGGAGAAGAGGACCGGGGGAGAGGGAGGGGGGAGGCTTGAGGAGGGGACGGGGAGAAAAAAAAAAGTCTCAAGACCGAGAAACGGAGAGAGAGCGAGAGGGAAAGCAGGTAGACTGAGAGGGGGGCAACGGAAAGGAAGCGAGCAAAAGACGTGGATTCTGTTTTTTTTTTTTTCTTCTTGACCGGGGATAAGAAAATCAGATTGAGAGGAGGACAAGCGGCAGCAACAGCAGCAGCAGGAAGAGGAGCAAGAGAAGCAAGAGAAGCACCAGCAACAAGCAGCAGGACTTTTCTCCGCTGTAGCCAAAATAATAATAAATTCCACTACTAATACTGGTAGATAATGATTACTAGGTATATACACCAGAGATTGAAAACATAACTCCAACCAAGCCGAGAACTCGGTCATTGACGGAGTACTTTTCGATAAGTACAGCACTGTCTGTCAATATCACATTTTCCTTTCCCAGGACAGGCGTACTGCATCACAAGAAGAAATATATCAGAAAACAGAATCCGATGAGAGCATACACTCTGCACCATTCTCATCCTGCTCTTGATTTTGTTTCTCGTACTTGTTTGTGAAGACCGCCGGTGTCTCCGTGGAGTACGGAGTAAGAGAAGGGAAAACAAAAATAAAATAAAAAAAATAAAATAAAAAAGGGTGGACATCGGATGGATTTGAATGGATGTGGTTGGTAGAGGGAGATTCGGGTCGTTGAATCGCTGGCTTCCCTCCCGAATCCGAGAAATCTCTTCTCTCCCTGACTCTCCCCTCGTCACAATTAACTACCTTAACCATAGGTTACTTCATCGCAACTCGACTCTCCGTGTTCTGATCCTAAATCCATTCCTTACTCTATATCAAACAAACAAACAGTTCCCATGGCATGAAATAGTCGACGGTTATCAGATCCCCCCCCCCGTGTCAAGGTGTTTCATCGGTGACAGGCAAGTATCCGTACGATAATGACTTGGTTAGGGGGTCCCACATGTAATCTCCAATACGATACGTACGCACGCACACGCAGTAGGTTGAGACTATGCGACATGGGGCTTGTGTTCGACCGGTCAGCAGCCCATCCCTCATCATCACCTGGGTTTTGGATGCAAGTCAGCAATTGATTTCTTGCACTGGAACAAGCCCGCCAGCCAGAGTTGTCACCCCCAAACCCAAGATGCCAACGAGCTCATCGCTACAGTCTAAATTAAGCACCATGGCTGCTGCTGTCCTGAAAAACCATGAAAAGCATGGGGATTGAGACGATCCATCTCCCCTGTCGCATCGCATCGCATCCGAACAGAAACCCTGATTTTCCGAGAGCCAGTCCAATGCACAATGGCGTATGCACGGAGTTTGCCCTCTGACTGACGGGCTGACTTGCTCCAAGTCCAGACAGAGACTAGAGTAGCCGGTAGCCGGGAAGAGGCAAGCAAGTTGCCAGAGTGAAAAAGCACTGGGCAGCGCGGCCTTGTAATCAATCCTGTGTCTCTCTCTTAGCGTCGGCCCGTCAACCTTTTTTTGCAGCGCTGTCCCACCCTCCCTCCTCTTGCTGTTCATTTGGACGGGGGGAGAAACCAGCATGCGCTGTTGACAACCTGATTATGCTGCCACGGAGGAGAGCATGAAGCAGACATGTAAGAGCAAGAACACAAATTCTCCATGAAGAGTCCGTCATCATCCCCAGCTCTCGAACCGCATTTGGGCCCTACTTCGATCCAGATAGTTCTAAACCGAATTACTACCCGTGCTGGCAATCTCGAAGCCCCCTTTCCCGCACCCCTGGGCAGGTCTAGATGGCGACAGTAGTAATATCATCGTACCACACCTACGACCTCCGAAGTCTGGGCACGGGCAGAAACCATGATCATGATTCTGAGCCAGGACTGTACTGTACACTAATACCGGGATAGCAAGATCATACGTGAGATAGAAACCTGGAATTCCCTGACCAACTAGATCTAGTACTGTACAGTACTACCTACCCTGCCTTTAATGATTATGCTTGTCTTGCCCTTCGGCATTTCTGATCAAGAAAGAAAGCAAGAAAGAAAGCCTGGATGATTGCGCCAAGCCGTTGATGAACGGGCCTCAAATCATACTTATCTTCCTCGTGGGGACTATCTAAATTAGCCCTGGTATGGATGGATGGATGGATGGACGATGGATGCGGGCTTGGCTAATCCACTTTGGGCTGCCTCTCCTTGCAGGTAACTTCTTCGCGGCAGCGGCAGTGCGGATGTAGTAGATGGTCGAGTCATGGCTGTCTCTCTGGGTCCTCACCTTGTGTACTCAGTCAGTACTTTGGGGTCTGATTCTCACTGTTTGTTGTTGCAATGTTGCATTGGAAATTGAGAAATGCCCCCAAAACGGTGGTTTGTTGTTGTTACGAGTGGGCCCTCTTCAAGACGCTTATTTCTGCTTGTTTTCGAGGGGCATCTACGACAACAACAACAAGGCTAAATAACTGCTCGTGTCGACAGCCACGAACTGCCTGCAACTGCCGGGAGATCCATGATTTACCTTACTTGTCCATCCACCTTCCAGAATATAGGCGGCGACACAGCTCGTGCTGTATGCAGTCTAGGATAGATTGTCTAAAATCCAGAATGGCCGGGGTGGGGGCAACAACGCAGGACAAGGTGGGAGAAAACCGTGATGAATAAACTAACACTCAGAGCCTTCCCTGCACCCGCTTGGGGAAAGGCGCAGAAAATCCAAGTTGAGGGAAAGGAGGGGTGGAGGGGGGATGAGGGGAAGAAAGAAGCGAAGAAGGAGGGGGAAAAAGAAGTCCCGAATCACAAGATGGGCTTCTTATGCATCGTCATCGTGCTTCCAGTGGCTGGAAATGACCATGTATGTCTACCGAAGGAGGCAAATCCAGGTTTGTGGAGGATCACGCAGGCTGTCGGCCTGTCTGCAAGTGTTTACCCCCGGGGTAACGTTAGTGGGATGGGTAGAATGGAGTTTCTGCGAACAGTCGACAAGCCCATGCAGCCTTGTCTCTCTCATCTGATTGATCTTCGGATCACACGCTCGACTTTTTCTTATTTTTGTTTCATCAAGCTGCAGGCGCAAGAGGGTATTGGGTGTGAAACTCGCGATTGTCTCAGGGTATTGAATCCGCAAACCAGAGAGAGAGAGAGAGAGAGAGAGACATATTGTTCTACAGTAGAGTATGTATGTACATACTCAGTACATCGATGCATTGCTTAAATGTACTGCAGCGACCCGGTCCACTACTACACACTTTACCTTATACTTCGCCTTGCCGCCGCCCTATCACGTTGAAGTCCCCCATCCGCAATCCGTGACTTTTCCCTTCCCCCCCCCGCCGCGGCCATGCTTACTTGCAGAAACAATGACCTCTGTGGCTGATCATCCCTCGGGTTCGTGGGCAGGTCGGATCCTTCTAGAGGCTGCCTGCGTTTCTGACTAACAATACTCGCGTAACTACGGACTTCGTATCTTCTCCCAGCATTCACAAGTAGTAGTGATGCTACCATGATGAACTTTCAGACCAGGAATGTTTAAGACACATATCAGCAACGGTCGCCGGCAGTCTGGTTATTCCTCCTCGATGCATCGCCGTAGAAACATCTCCCCGAGGGTTCCTCATCTTCTTTGTACTCGACATACCTGTGCAATGCTAGAACCACACAACGCACCCTATACTTCGGATCCCCGGTTGGTCGATTTACCAACCTTCTTTCTTTATAAGATCCGTTCCTTTCATCGGCTGGATCGGGTCAAGGGCTAACAGGGTCAACCCCCAAGCCCATGGTTCCGAACTATGTTCCGGCCATGTGTTCAGCAATATGACAGGTTGGGGCCAAGGGAGGGAAACAATGTACTGCTAGGTAGACTCAGTGCTTGACTGCCTTTGAAGGGGGGGGGGGCCCTGGATTGGGTCGGAAAGGTTGGCACCGGTTCCTCTGGACTGGATTGGCCCTGAACTCGACCATTGTTGGATCCAGGTTGAATACGGGGTTCCCCCTAAAATAGCGATCTTGGGTTTTGCCGTCGATAGACATTCACCAACCTTGAAGATGGGATGCAGGTATAGTGCAGGTGCTATAGAAGTTGTCGGATATAGTATATTATTGTATGTCTCGGAGACGAGGAACAATCGTGACATGCCCCTCCACCGTCTCGGCAGTGACGACTATTAACACAATTTAAGCGTTACCAATAATAGTCCCTCTCAGGCCGCCCGTCGTGAAGCACAGAGACTCCAGTAAAGTCAGAGGAAACAGGTGGACCAAAGCTGGACCTGAAATACTTTATTAACCAGCCGGTCACGGCGCCCCGTCACACGTGCCGCATTGGTTCGGACCCAGGGCCGAGACGAGTCACTTTCCGGGAAACGCGGGGCAGAGGAGAGGAGGAAAAAAAAGGGGGGGGGGAGGGGAAAAGGGTTTCTCACTTTCTCACAATGGAGGATGAAAAAAGCTAAATGGGCATTCAATGACTGGAATGAAAGCAGGGATCTAGAAAAGAGGAATGCAACAGCAACGGCGGCGGCGGAGGAGGAGGCGGCGTTGGCGGCGCTGAAGGTTCTGTTGGATCTACTACGGAGACTCCGTACTCTTCTTCCAATAGCTGGCTTGAGGGGGGGGGGGAGCGATTGTTCTTGATGCCTTTTACTGCTGCGGAACAGGAGTTCAATAGCACCCCCGATGATCGACACAAAGAATCGATGATTAAGCGGGCGAGAGGATCGTAGCTCCCATCTAGATCCCTCGATTCGACAGGTGTGTCGCAATCGGCGCGTTTGGATTCAATAAAGCTAATTCTTCCTCTGATCACTCCTATCGCAAGTGGGTTTTGTGGCAGTCGCTGGGGCTGAAGGCATGGGGCAGGACATTTATCCATGCCAACCAATGTATGCTAGTCGCGGAGAAATGCATGTCTATTGAATGTGACAGGGTGGAGGGAGCTCCGCGCCAGTGATTCGCAGGACTTTGCCGCATTGATTGCGGCAGTTGAGGTTGGTTGGTTGGTTATTGGGGTGATGAACAAATGGAGAAGTGATATATGCGAGTGAGTGAGAAAGCGATCGCCTTGAAGAGGAGATAAATTGTGTGCCCGAGGAATGATGATATATGCATCATAATGAAAGAATCAAGAACATACCTCACTATGAATCAGAGCCCACCGGGGTTCCATTACCGGAGGATGCAGCAGCAGCAGCAGCATCTGCCCCTGCTGCAGTTCAACGGGCGCTGCAGTAGAACAATGAGACCCTTTTAGTGCTAAGCCGGCCGGCCAAGAATAGTCTATAATACCTGTCATCTATTCGGGACTGACTGGGTTGGATGGAAGCAGTGTAGTGAAGGAGTATGTCTCTTCCACCTGTAAGATGGGAGTAAAGTGACTGCGCTGACTTGGAACGTGTTGGTGACCCTTCACTAAATGAGGCTGTCTGAGTTTCCCCCTTTCAAGTGTGATCCGCCCCTCGGAGTCCGTCCAAGCATTGGCCCTTTTTTGTTTCTATAATGTCCTCAGTTTGATCACCTGTTTCAGCTGCTGAGTCCTTATTGATAGGAACGGTCTTTGTCCTCGGGTTTTGTTTCGAGAGCCTGTCCATGATAGCCCTGAGGATGAACCTGCTGAAAACCATTCATTGGAGCTACCAGCATCGCCTAGCATCGTTGAGGAGATAATATTCTCAAGTTGTGACAGTCTTTAAGCTGCGGCGCAAGTTGCTGTGAGTAAACTACTAGTCACGTAGTTAGTTAGTTCCTACCCCGGCGAGTGCAGTGACTGCCGCTGTGCCGGCCGTGCCCGTTTCGACAGCAGTTACCGCCGTTGGCCGGCGGGATTACAGTAGCGGGAACACCCCCCCCCTCCTCCCCCTGGCTCTGGCTCAAGCTCTGCTGCTGCTGCGCTGCTACTGCTGCTGCTGCTGCACTACGGCTGCTCTCCAGCCGATCGCCCTCAATTAGATTCTCTCTTCCGCCGCCCGCTGCTCGATTAACCTTTCCCAGCAACCTACTGGCATTCCCGCTACTTACCTATATTTCCCACCCTATTCAATCAATCACTACCAGGCTGGTCCTTCAATTCTGAAAGAAAGAGAAAGGAATAAACAAAAAGGATACATTCTGAAAAGACCCAGTCACTGTGCTCTTTTCTTTTCATCTTCTCTTCTCCAGAACACGGATTTACCCGCCTCTACTTGTGTGGTTTTTTGGAGTGTGCCCTTACCCGCTAGAGTCTATCACTCACTCTCTCTCTCTCTCTCTCTCCCTCCCCTTAAAACACTGCCTGCCTATCTGGTGGTCGATCGGTTGAACAATTCCACCCACGCAATTCCTCCTCCCCTCTCCCCCCGACAAAAAAAAAACAAAAAAGCTTCCTCCACTTTTCTGACTTTGAGGGAAACAGCCTTCACTTTCGTCTCGCTTCATTCTCCTTGATTTCTTCATTTTTGTTTCTCTTCAATTCCTTTTGTGGTGGTGGAAATCCCACCTCCGGGGCTGTGAACTCTTTCCTCCGTGGAAAGCAGCACAAAGACATTTTTGCTGCACCCTCCCCCTCCTACGTCGCCGGCCGATTGCTCTGTCGATTTCCCCTCGATACCCCGTTGCCTTCTTCCTCCCTTCCTTCAAAACATCTTCCGCCTTGTAGGCACTCCGTCGCGCTTTCCCTCGGTTACGCCTTTCGGTGCATACGATCGTTGACGGGTTATCTATTCCCCGGCAGTTGAACGGTTTCTGGTCCGCAAAGTTGGAATTTCCTCGGTGGATCTGCGCACCCACGACGTCTGAGCACGACAACAGCGGGTTTCTTTCCGATCGCACCTTCTTGGAGGCCAACGTTGGCGGCAACGTTGGAGTCACTATATGCTCTCAGACACCCATGGGAATGCTAATATCTCTTCCGTACAAGGTGGAAAGTCTCCGCTAGCCTCGGAAAAGGCCTCGATGATGCCGTGGAAATTGTCGACCAATACGTCTCCGGAGGCAAAGAATCGTCCCCCATTGTCTTCGCAACAATCGAACTCCTTGCCCTCCACGCCGTACCAGCATGCGCGGAAAATCTCCTTTCACTCCCGATCGCCCTCGCCTCCCCACGGGAGCACCTCCCCCCGCTCCACCCACTCAGAGTCCACCCATCTCCCCCCCTCGATGCGAAAACAGTACGGCGGCTGCAAGTACGAGACGGCAATGGCTTTCTTCCGGAGACGAATACCGTACTCCATAGGGGCCGACTTGTTGCCAGAGGAGAAGGAGGGCTTGAAGGAGCGCCTGGAGCCCGAGGAGGAACAAAGGCTCACGGCCGACATGCTGGAGGTCTACGATCGACTGTTACCGTCCGCGGAGAGTGACGACCGACGGCGGCAGCTCGTCCGCAAGCTGGAAAATCTGTTCAATGACCAGTGGCCGGGATGTAATATTAAGGTTCATGTTTTTGGGTCGTCGGGGAATAAACTCTGTTCGAGTGATTCGGATGGTATGTACTTGGCTACCACCCGGGCAGGGGTGGAAGTTGATGCCCCCCACGTGAGGACTGGCCGCTGACCCGAGGTATAGTTGACATCTGTATAACCACCACCTATAAAGAGTTGGAGCACGTGTGTCTGCTGGCGGAGGTTCTCGCAAAACGTAAGGAGACTGTTTTGATCCTGATCTTGATCTGCGCCGCCACCCTAACGGTTATGCACTACAGATGGCATGGAGCGAGTCGTTTGCGTTTCGCACGCAAAAGTCCCCATCGTGAAGATCTGGGACCCGGAGCTGCGATTAGCATGTGACATGAACGTCAACAATACCATGGCGTTGGAGAACACGCGGATGGTCCGGACGTATGTAGAGTTGGACGAGCGCATTCGGCCCCTGGCCATGATCGTGAAACATTGGACAAAGCGGAGGATATTGAACGATGCCGGTACGTGTCAGAATTTGGATCCATGGCATGCAGCGCACGCTCCGCTCGCCGCTTTTCTTGCCCCGCTGCAGTGGCCTCTTCTTGTTTGATGGCTGAAACTGACCCGCTGGATTCAGGACTTGGAGGCACCCTGAGTTCTTATACGTGGATCTGTCTGATTATCAACTTCTTGCAAACGCGGGATCCTCCCATTCTGCCGAGCCTCCAGGCTCGACCTCACAAGAAGAAAACCACAGCGGACGGAATTGTTTGCTCCTTCGACGACGATCTTGATTCCCTCGTCGGGTTTGGACGACAAAACAAGCAGTCCCTTGGAGAGTTGCTCTTCCAATTCTTTCGGTACTACGGCCACGAGCTGGACTATGAGAAAAACGTGATCTCCGTAAGGGAGGGAAAGCTCTTGTCAAAGGAGGCTAAGAGATGGCACTTGTTGCAAAACAACCGCCTGTGTGTCGAAGAACCTTTCAACACGTCTCGAAACCTGGGCAACACTGCGGACGATACGTCGTTTCGAGGGGTTCACATGGAGCTCCGCCGGGCCTTCAAGGCCGTTTGCGATGGCAACCTAGAGCTTTGCTGCGAACAGTACGAGTACCCGCCAGAAGAGGAGCGTTCATGGGAAAGACCTCCCCCGCAACCGCGGCCGGTCATTACCGCAGCACCACCACCCTCGCGAGGTGGTCGTGGGGGCGGTCGAGGCGGAAGACATTCGAATCAATTCGGCCGTGGCGGGAACTCCGGTGGCCGGAGGGCTTCCAACACACCCAATAAGTCGAATAGCTTCCGACAACCCAACGGTATGAGTGCGTCCGAACTATCTTTGCAAGCTCAGCATGCCCAATATCTCCTACATGATCATCTCTACCAACAAATTCAGATTCTTCAAGCCCAGGAACAAGAACTGCGACTCCAGCTGCAAAATCAAGCGCTTTTGACAGGACGTCCTCCGCCTGTCCTCATTCGGCAACCGTTCATCCAGTTCCCAATGCCCCAGCAGCAGGAAACCTCTACGGAGGACAGCTCACGGTCAAGATCCGGAACAACGAATCATCAAACGCACAGTGCATCACTCCGTCAGCCGGTTTACTATAGCACCCCGTACCTCCCCGTCACTGTCCCGGGTGTGCAAGGGAGCAGCACCAACCCACCGTCGCCGTCAGCAACCACCGCAATGCCGGATCTGAGACGCAGTCCGCGCCGGTCATCAGTAGCGAATGGGTCACCAAGCGGGTCACTCCGGGCACATTCGCAACCGGCACGCCCTGTCAATTCCCTCCCAAGCTACGCTCCGCTCTATTCTATCTCCCAAGCAGCAGACGGCTCGCCGACGTCGAAATCGCGCAATATGCCTGGTTCTCCTGACGGCACGCAGGGTGAGAACGAAAGTTCCTTCATGCCCAGTAGCCTACCCAATGTTTCTCGCTCTGGTTATTTCGATGAGAGCCGAACGAACGAGTATATGGGTTATTTCCTGGCGACCTCTCCGCAATTGCAGGCATATCACCAGAACGCCCTGCTGTCCTCCCTCTCGTCTCCGGTGGGGCTTACAATGCAGAACGGCGGCATGATGCCCTTTGTCGGAAGTTCCCAGGAATACATGCAATCCATGTCCCCAAACGAAGTCACCGGCCATGGCTTAGACAGTGCCACCGCCTTTCCCACCAAGTCTGCTCCCTCGCAACAGCGTGCAACTTCTCGTTCGGCACCCTCGGGGGATCGTAGTGGTCCGTTGATTGTGGATGGCTCTGTGCCTCCCAGTGAACCGCGTCTCTCAGCCTCAGCAGAACAATATGACCCGTATGCTACCATGAGCCATTGTACATCCGCCTCGGATGAGATCAACACGGACACTCCTGCCAGTGTCTCCGACTCGTTCTCCCAAGACTATCCGGATAACAGCTCCGTCGAGATTGACCCGACACCTTATTTCGCACGGCAAGGGATTGAGTCATATCCTACAGGCAAAGCCGCCGATCCATTTGTTAATGGCCACGGAGGGAAGCATAGTCTGCTTTCCAGCCGCCTGCAAAGTCTGCATCTGTCAAATTCAGAGAAGATGGCCGAGCCTGTTGCTCGTGGTGGATCCGAAAAACCCAAGACTGTCCCAATTCAACAAGAACATGTGGAAAAAGAGGCTCCTCGACCAAGACAGGTCCATGGACCAGAGAAAGGAACGTCGACCTCGGGTACTTCTTCAGTGACTGAACCGCAAACTGCGACATCGAGCGGGAAGCGCCGTGTCAACGGCGTTGAGTCATCCGAAAGAGCCAATGGAGGCACTCACAAAGCCAAGTCCAAGAACCACAATTCTTCGTCTGGGTCTGGGGACAACGAGAGACGAAACGTGGGTTCTCAGCCACGAAAGTCAAATGGGGTCAACTCCACACAGGATTCCACAGTAAACCATGCCAGCAGCGGCTGGCAGATGCCCAAGAGCAGAAAGCCAAAAAGGAATGCCAAGCACTCTACAGAGCACAGACATGGCTTGCAGAGTGGCGCTGAGCCACTTCCTGCGGATGAATCTCTGAGAAAGGGCGGCTGAGGGCGTGTTTGATTTCGATCTATGCTTCACATTGCTACTGATGCGCGTTGCAGTCTAGAACGTGCTCTGTGCTGTCCGTCTTCTCGTGGTCGAGCTTGAACTGAGTTGTCGACACGTTGATTCGAGAATCGAGCTCCATACATACATCCCAAAAGACTGTGCGATGTGACACATGTTTTATGCAGCTCTTATCGCAGCGCGATCTTTTCCTTACTTGCGAAACTCAATCTTTCTGCCAACTATCCTCCCCCACGCGAGGGAAGGTGTTTTGGTAGTGTATAAACGAGGCGACGTCCTCTTGCAGATGATATGATTTCGGTTGCACTTGCTTCGCTACCTTTTCATGGTGGTATATGACACTTTGCGTTTCTTTCCTTTCTTTTTCGTGTTCAATATTGGCGTTTTGCAAGGTTAAATAACGGAAATTGGCAACCAGGGGGTATGGCTGGCTACCACGGGTCATTCGCATGAATTGCATACGGTATATGTGCCCTGTTCTTCATCTTCCTCGTTCAACTTTTTTTTTTTTTTTTTTTTTTTCGTCGATCGCACTGCCAGGATTTGGAAGGCTATCAACATCTTATCGCAACGTCTCTTTGTGCACAAAACGGGAAACGGAATACACAAAAACATCCACCAAATATGGTGCGCGGGGACCCTCGATATACAAAACGGAGCAGGCATTGTCTCTTATACATACTGTCCCCCTCTCTTGCTTTTTCTCTTGATTGTTGTTCTATTTTGCTGCTCTTGTGTGCTGTGACTGGCCACGCATCTTTGAATATCATATCCGACCGGCATGATCATCACCATCATCAGTTATTATTGTCAATATACCAACATAGCAGGGTGCCAGGCGAGTGGGGTTTATTGCTTTTGTTGTCTGCTCATCATTACTTGCATACCTCGATTGTTTTTATGTCATGTGTGTTTGTGTGCTTGTGTGCTTGTACTACTCGGAGAAAACCCCCTTATTTTCTTCTGCCCTGCGATTCTATTCCTCGGTTTCACAATTTCTACAGGAGGGAGAATGCAGATGGGGAGATGTTTAGACATTGGAAAAATTTCACATAAGGCAGAAATATCTGAAAAGAAATGAGAAAAAAAACTTGACAAATACATATATGAACGATCACTATCCTATGCTTCTTGGTTATCTGCAAGGATGGTAGTACAGTCAGTATCAGTAGAAGTCGACTGGACTGTACTTCGTGTGGCTTCACCCGGAAATCGGCCGGAAGGACGGTTGTTTGGACTACGGCGGACGGGAGAGACCAAGATGGGAGCTCCACCCAACCCAACTCCAACTTGAACTTTGCAAACCCTCCCGCAAAATAATTGTCCGCCCTCATTTCGACTTGACTTGGGATTCAATTGACATCCCCCCTCAGTTGACTGGCCCGTGGCTACCCTCAGGTCTCTCCATAGATTTCTCTCGGTCACATCAACTTCATAGACCTGCTTGTTCTCATGGTATAGGTTCTGCAGTCATCCACGGGTCTGCGATGCCTTGAAATCAGACCACCATGACCCCCGAATCAGCAGCCGCCGCCCGCGGCACAACCACACCGGCCGTCCCCTCGCGCAACGCCCTTCGGGTCCTGCGACGTTTGGCCCTCGCCGGATCTACGGTGGGCGGTTTCTGTACCATTGCGGCCGTGACCTACGATGTGCACCGCCGGGTCACCATCGCCGAACGCATCGTCGAGAACAAGCGCGCCCTCCATGCCTCCGCCCCCAACTACGATGCCACGGCCGCCGCGAGGAGGCTTGCTCGCATGATGGAGGCCGCTGAGGCTGGCGAGTTCATGGGGCTGGAGTCCCTGAAGGACCAGGATCGCCGCGCTGCATCACCGACAACACCAACACCGACGCCCACGCCAGAAGTGATCAGTCCTCCGTCCGACCGCACAACAGCAACAGCAACAACAAGTTCTTTTCAGGACATGTATATCTCCTTACCGGGCGGTGGTGGGTCGTCGCCCGCTTTGGCGGAGAAGCTGCTGAGAGATACGAGACCGGGCCCGTTGAACCCGCAGATGCAGACTCCTGGGCTTGCTGATGGCCTGGGTTCTCTTGGCAGTAGCGGCAGTAGCGGCAGTAGCGCGAACGAGTTTCAAAAGGCCGCGCCCGGCACACTCGGGAATAGTCTTACGGATGAGAAGGCCCTGATGGATACTTTGGACAATCAGCCGGTTACGTGGCAGATGCAATGGTTGCTGACCAATGACCGCCCTGTGTACGCGGCGCAGTTGTTCCTCGACACGCACCCCGAGACACACCAGCACTTGGCTCCGCAACGACGGCAGCTGGCGGAGCAGGTGTTTTTCGCTAACTGCACGGCCGGGAATGTGCATCTGGCTCGGAATGTCTTTGAGCGGGTGGAAGCGGTGGACCAGGTCTCCTTTGAGATGTGGAGGACCATGATCCTGACGCTGGCGAAGAAGGGTGCCATCGAATCGGCGGCTGCGATCTACACGCGCTACATGCACAGGTTCAAGGCTTCCCCGGAGATGATTGACATTGTGCTCCGCTGTCTGGTCGAGTCGCACCGACTGACCACGGCGAAATGGTTCCTTCTCCGGAATCTGCAGTATGATCGCGGCTGTGGCCTGTGCGGAGCGTACCTGACGGGACTCTGGAGGAAGACGAGAAGCATAGAGCTGCTCAACGGTCAACTGAGCAAGCTGCTGCGCGTCCTCATGCGTCTCGGGAAGAAGCCTACCGATAAACTGTTCAATCCGGTCATCAAGGCTTACGTGGAATTCGGCCGTCTCGCCGACGCCGAGGCCCTGGCGAACGAAATGACGGTGAACCATGGAATCCCGCCTCGCTGCCGGACCAAAGGGCTCCTGTTGCTGGGCAAGGCCCTGCAGTGCGATTGGGAGGGCGTCCGTGCCGGCTTCGAAGAAATGCACAAACTCCGCTTGGTGTATAGAGTGGCCGATTTCATCCCGGTCTTTGACCGCATCTTCCTAGAATACTGGCCGACGCACACTGCGGAGGAGATCCGCACATGGTTGTATGGCTACCTGACCGAGTTCGAGATTGTCCCCGATCGGGTCCTGTACAAGCACATTCTGGAGGCCTTGGTGCAGAAGGGCGACCGGGACATGGTCTATGAGTTTCTGCGCTTTGCTAAGGAACGCAAATGGCCGAAGCTCATCAATGAATTTGCATTCCTGGAAATGCTGCGATCCCAGCGCCACGCGCTCGAGCATTCGCCGATCGGTTTCTGGCAGATGCTGCAAGCCGCACGCATGAAGTACGGCCAGGCCGCCGCGTCCCAGCGGATTCTGGGGTATGATCAGCACTCGTTCCCGAGTCCGGAGGTGAACAAGATGCCGTTCACCGAGGACTCCTTGCCCTTCTTCCAACGGATGCAGCAAGAAACACAGACGTCGAGGCCGGTGGATCAATATCAGAAAGTCCACCGGCTGATGGTGCATTACATGCATAACGGCAAATTCGTCGAAGCGCTGAAGCGGTACGAGGCTGCCAAAGCTGCGAGGTTCCACTTCAAGCAGGTGCACGTGGAGCTGGCCGTCATCGCTACCATCATTGAGAAGGGCATCGAGGCCGCCCGAGAGCTGATCGACTCCAACTGGAGGAGCATTCGCAATGTGACCCGGTTCCTCCCCCAATTCTTCCGGCAGGTGACCGAGATCGACACGGAGGCCACGAACGAACATATCAAGCTCGCCGTCTTCCGCTTCTATGAGATCTGCTCGTCAGGGAAGGACATGACCGTCAAGCACCACATGCTGGTTGCGCTCTGTCGGCGCCTGATCCACGAAGACAAGCCCGACCTGGCCCTCGAGCTTCTGTCCGCGATCTATATGTCCCGCTACCGGCACACCCTGGCCTTCGATGGGCCTTGTCTGAAGATGTTTCTCCGGGCGTTTACCCTGGCCGACAATCCCCTGGGTGTGCGGTGGTGCCTCATGACGGCGTTGACGTGGCCGAAGATCGACACCGACTTCACCATTGAAGTGCGGCGGATCATCGGGCGGTTGCGCCACCGCACGGAAAGCAATCTCACCAACATGCACTACATGATCGAACGCGAGGAATATCTCACCCACGTGGCCGACATGGTTATCCGGAAGGTCGAAGGCAAGGATGCCTCCACAACGTCGGATGTGATCCACAACCCCCGACTCAAGCAATCCAAGCGCAACATCATCAAGCGTCCCCCTACCGCGATCAAAGTCTACCGACTGGATGAAGTGGACAAGGCGGTCACCGAGTGGGACGAGGAATATGAATTGCACGCCGCGCTGGGACAGATCCAGAATGTGCGCGTGCGGGCTATTGCCAACCTTACGGAGGAGCAGTACCTGGAGCAATACCTGGAGCACGGGTGGAAAGAGGACGATCTAGAGAGAGGGGAGGAGCACGAGCGAGAAAAGGAGCGAGAAAAAGAGCAATGATTCGCCAGATGGCAGAAGCCATTGAAGGGGTTCCTTGTGAGTGCCTGAGTGCCCTTCCTGCATAGCCCATTTTCTATTCAGCTGGGAGGAGAATCACAATCTTTATTACATTGTGTTTATGTATATAGGTCGGTAGGTTTATGGGGGGGGGGGGGACAATTATCTGGATTATTGTACTGTACGATAGCGGTGTCAGAGTCAATTAATGAGAGGAAGATACCAATTTGAATTGATTATGGGTTTCTACAGTACCTACTGAGTAAGAGTATGAGTCGATGTTTACTGTGGTGATCTGGTGATCGTACGGTGCCTGAAATTACTGGGTTGGGAATAGTCTAAGTTAGTGTTTGGCTGCCGTTTTCACATGTCAGGGTGTCACGCCACTCATTCATTATTCTCTCTCTCTCTCTCTCTCTCTCCGCCCGCACTTTTTCTTTCTCCAAACACACCCCCCTCCCCCCCCCCTTTCTCACTCGAAACCAGCCACCCTCTCCCTTTCGACTACTCTTCTTCCGTGTTGCAAACGAAATATGCCCTGCGCTCTCTTCCGAACTACCTCGTCTCGTCGAATTTGACCCCTTTCGCCTTCTCCCATCGCACAATGGCCACCGCGGTCGCCAATGGCCACGCCACCCCCTCCGCTGATGCGGCCAGACAACGGAGACAGATTCACCACGCCGCCGACGTCGTGATTGTGGGCGCCGGGATTCTTGGATGCGCCCTCGCCGTGACACTGGGGAGACAAGGCCGGAGTGTGCTGCTACTGGAGAACTCGATGAAGGAGCCCGATCGCATCGTGGGCGAACTGCTGCAGCCCGGTGGTGTCCAGGCCCTGGAGCAGCTTGGTCTTGCCGACTGCCTGGAGGACATTGACGCGATCCCCGTCGAGGGCTACTACATCACATACCACGGCCAGCCGGTGGAGATTCCGTACTCGCAGGCCTCGCCGACGACGCCGCCGCCCCGGGGCCGCTCCTTCCACCACGGCCGGTTCGTGATGAAGCTCCGCGGCGCCGCGCTGGCGTGCCCCAACGTCACGGTGGTCGAGACCAAGGCCACGGAGCTGGTCACATGCTCGCACACCAAGCAGGTCCTGGGTGTCGAGTGCGTGACCAAGGACGGCAAGGCGGACTGCTACTTCGGCCACCTCACCGTCGTGGCGGACGGCTACGCCTCCAAGTTCCGCAAGCAACACCACGCCCGCACGCCCGAGGTGCGCTCGCGCTTCTGGGGGCTGGAGCTGATCGACCCCGTCATGCCCAAGCCCTACTACGGCCACGTGCTGCTCAGCGACGACGCCCCGATCCTCATCTACCAGATCGGCACCCACGAGACCCGCATCCTGATCGATATCCCGGAAAACTGCCCCTCGGCTTCCGTCAAGAACGGCGGCGTCAAGGCCCACCTGCGCAACGTCGTCCTCCCCTCGTTGCCGGAATCCGTCCGCCCCTCCTTCGAGGCCGCCCTCGAGAAGGGCCCGCTGCGCTCCATGCCCAACTCCTACCTGCCCAGTGCGCGCAACCAGACCCCCGGGCTGGTCATCCTGGGCGACGCCCTCAACATGCGCCACCCGCTGACCGGCGGCGGCATGACCGTCGCGTTTAATGATGTTGTGGTCCTGCGCGACCTGCTGAGTCCCGAGCGGGTGCCCAGCTTCAGTAACACCGAGAAGGTCATCCAGCAGCTGTCCTCGTTCCACTGGCAGCGCAAGAACGGATCCTCAGTCATCAACATCCTTGCAATGGCGCTGTACAGTCTTTTTGCTGCGGACGGTTAGTGCCCCTGTCCTTGTTGCCCCCCCCTCTTTTACATGTCAAACAGAACCGTGCATAAACTCACAACCGCTGGTGTAGATGAACACCTCCGCGCCCTCCAACGCGGCTGCTTCCGCTACTTCGAACTGGGCATGACGGCCGGCCCCGTGGGCCTGCTGGCGGGCATGACCCAGAAGCCCGCCGTGCTGTTCGGCCACTTCTTCACCGTGGCCTTCCTGTCGCTGTGGCTGCTGGTCGCCGAGTCGCCCCTGTACAAACTGCCGCTGGTGCTGTGGCAGTGTGTCATGGTGTTCTGGACGGCATGCGTGGTGATTTTCCCGTACATGCTGATCGAGGCTTTCTGCTGATCGAGGCGTTGTCTTGAATGCTGATTGCTTGGTGGACTGTGAATATTCCCTTTTCTTCTTTTTGTTGGCGTGTATAATATCGACTTCGGTGTCGTTGAACTATATTAATACCTTTTTTTCATGTGGTTGTTGATTTACGCCTGGGGTTGGGTTGATGGGACCCAGTATATACGTGCTACGTTTTTTGTGGTTTGTGGTTGATAGAATAATAAGATAGCGTGGTTCATAATGGTAGTACAAGAGTCAGGATTGATATCGGGTCCAGAGTTGGAGTAGGTGGATGTAGTAGTCCAGTCTCTAGGGAGTATATATAGAAACCTAGTTTAGGGGTAGGGGTATCGTGTAGTATAGCTTACCTGAGCTACATAGGAATTCGGGGTCACGGTCACAGTCACAGTCACGGTCACGGTCACGGTCACGGCAAAACCGGCTCATCCGCCAACCGCACCACCTCCGCTGCTTCACTCTCTTCCGATTCCGATTCCGATCCCTCCGACTCCGCCCGGCTGCAGGTGTTCCCTTCTTCATTGAACAGGAGCGCCGAGGACCGCAGCGCCGCATCATCCAGACCGACTACCCATCCCAATCGTTAGCATACCTCTCACAGAACCACCTCTCACACACACACACACACACACACACACACACACACATTGCGCAAAACAGGGAAAGGAAAGGGGAAGACTAACCAAACGGCCGAATCCACCAACTCGCGGCGGCGGCCGCCCCAAACACAGCGGCCAGCACCACAAAGATCGCCGGCGTGAACCGCCCGACGGTGACGCTGTAGATCAGCGAGCACACCGAGGGCGCAAAGATGCGCGCCAGCGCGTGCAGCAACCCTTTCGCGCCGAGGATCTGCCCCAGCCCCTCGCGGGGCACGTGCTTGGTCAGCGCGGACTGCAGCGTGGGGACGCCCATGCCGCCGAGGGCGAGGATCACGCCGGAAAAGGTCATGAGGGCGCCGTTGAAGGCGATGGCGTAGCCGATGTTCCCCAGCGTGTCGAGGAGGATCGAGATGCGGATGAGGGTGATTTCGTAGGGGGTGGAGCCTGGGATGTGGTGTTGAGGGGCCGGGGTTTGGGTTAGGGCGGGTTGGAAGATGGCCGTGATGATTGGGTAGATCACGAAGAGGTTCAGGACGCGGATGATGCTGATGCTCGAGATGAAGAGGCTCGACTCTACGTTGCCCCATCCGAACTTGTACTCCGCGTACATGATGATGACCTGTGCCGAGCCGAGGGCGACGCCGAAGGCGAGGGTGTCCAGCGTGGTCAGGAGGATGATGTTGCGGCGGAGGGCCGGGGTCGCGCCCCCCGCGTTGGGGAAGAGGGGGCTCGGTCGCCCGACGGGTGGGAGGAGCACGGCCAGCGGGGTGAGGAGGTGTTTGGGGTTCAGGGTGTCCCAGAGGGAGGTCGGGGGCTGGTCGTGCAGGTGCTTGCGGTGGCGGTCCCGGAAGCCGGCCTGGCGGCGCGCGGAGAGGGATTCCGGGACGACGAGCAGGATGGTCACCAGGAAGAGGATGTGCAGGACGAGCGACGCCGTGAAGACGTCCAGCACCTGGCCGGTGCGCTTGATCAGGATGGCGGCCAGCAGCGGGCCCGCGGCCAGCCCCGAGAACAGCGCGCCGTACAGGTAGCCGAAGGCGACGCTGCGGTGGGCGGGCGCCGTGCAGTCGGAGGCGTACGAGGCCGTCAGCGCCATGATGGTCGTGAACGAGCCGCCCAGCCCGTCCACGAACGCCGCGACCAGGAGCACGTTCACCGAGACCAGGTCCGGCTGCGCTGCCACGAACAGCGTGATCGCCTCCCCGACCACCGTCGCCAGCGTGCTCAGCGCGATCACCCGCGTCCGCCCGTGCCGGTCCGACAGGTGGCCCAGCCGCGGGCACACCAGCGCCGACAGGACCCCCGCCACCAGGTTGTAGTACAGCTGGAACCGCGCCACCTGCGACTGCACCTCCGGGATCTGGCACTGCGCGTTGTCACTCCCGATGATCACCGGCAGGTACGTGAACCCGGGGTTCTGGCTGGCCTTCTTCGCCATGTAGTCCTTGCACACCAGCGTCACCATCAGGTTGATCTTGGGGACTGCCGTGCCCCCGAATCCCAGCATGTAGAGGATCAGAAACGGGAAGAGCCAGAAGACCTGCTCGATGACGGGTTAGTCCGCCAGGTGGGTTTGCAGGATATAGCGGGGGATATCACGTATCACTCACGCTCGCCTTCCACCAGTTGTGTCGGGGGCTTTCGTCCTCATTGTCGTAGTCATGGCCCGAGGGTGAGAGGCTCGTCTCGTCGGAGTCGCGCGATGGTCTGTTGTCGCCTAGTAGGGGCGTCTGTTCGTGGTGCTCGGAATGAGCCGAGGCTGCATTCGACCGAGCACGCAGACTCGAGTGGTAGTCGACGTCTGCGGGAGGGGTATCTCCCCTGGTTTGCGGTGCAATGCCCGTCATGTTTAGTCGGGCGATTTATGAGGATGATAGTCGCACGAGAGCAGTCATATAGAGTGTATATAGTTGAAAGTTGCTGCCTGTAATTCCTGGGGAAGGGGGGGAGAAGAGCGGTTGAAGTTGCTTATCAATCAAGCTCAAGATCAACAGACGTGGTCAGGATTGAGCCAGAGATAGATAGATAAAGATTCAAGTCTTCAAATGAGGAGTCGACTCGTTACCAAGTAGTGACGTGATTGACGGGACAATGGCATGCATTGGCGCCAGCCAGCTGGTTTATTGGTTTCAGGATTCGGGGGGATTTCAGCCACTGATTGTATGTGGTTGAAGCAAGGAAGTTGATAAGAATCAGGGAAGGCGAATCGAAGCCGATAAGAACTCAACGGTCGGTCGCGGAGCTCCGACTTTCCGACTTGGAAGAATACGAGTAATGAAATAATGTACACTTAATTATCCTCTCTTCTCAATCGACAACACAGAATAAAATCCCTTGATCACATAAGATTTTCCGAGAAGCAAGACAAGAAGAAAAAATCTATCCAACGCCGGCCTGCCATCCAAAGCACTGTACAAATTGATTTAAAGGACCAGAGAGGAAGCACGCTCGCCAGCAAAGAACTTCTTCTGTTCCAAGCATCGCTCACTCGTGCAGCCCTGACAACGCAGAGTCATCTGCAGCGAACAGGGCTCCCCCTTGCGCAGATGCTCCTGGGCAACGTCCGCCAGAGCTTGGATGAAGATGGGGCTACCATTCAAGCTCTCCGCACGCTTCACTCCCGGGTGATTGGCTTCTTCCATCACTTCGAGATCCAGCTCGTAGAGGGTTTCGATGTGGTCGCTGGTGAAGGCAATAGGGACCAGAACGATGTCGGTCTGACCCCGCTTCACATATTCCTGCACTGTATCACTTGTCTGTGCTCCCAGCCAAGCCCTCGGTCCGACCTGAGACTGCCAGCACAGTCGGTAAGGGTTGCTGAACTTGAGTCTCTGCATGACTGCATGGACAGTCGCAGCAACTTCTGCCGGGTAGGGGTCACCTGAAAAAACGCACCGTTAGCTGCGGAAATCTCATAGGTCGGCGAGACGATCGGCCTACCTCGGTTCACAACGCTCATGGGCAGACTGTGGGCCGAGAACAAGAGGACAACGCCGTCTCTCTTGTCTTCGGGATAGGTCTTCAATTGATCCTCGATGTTCTTCGCGAAAGCCTCCACCAGACCCGGATGCGTGGGCCACCGATCGATCACGCTCCACTGAATGGAACCCGCCGGCTGGACGCCGCCATTCGCCCGGGGTCCCTCCAGACGGTTCCTCCACTTCCACAGCTCGTTCAGGGAGCTGCCCGTGGTCGAGCAGGAGTATTGCGGGTACTGCGAGAAGGCCACAGCGCGTCCACCTTTACCGTTGCCGAATCCATCCTGTAGCAACTGCGCATACATCGTCTCGGTCAACGGTGCGGCGTAGCGGAAAGCAACGTATGGCTTGTGGGGGGCGGTCTCCGGGTTAATTTTATCCAGCAGCTTGCACATCTCCTCGCACTGATACTCCGACCACTTCCTGATCGGCGAGCCTCCGCCGATCTCCGCGTACTGCTTCTGGATCTTAGGTGTTCTTCGCTTTGCGATCAGCGGTCCGAGATATGACTGTAGTCGACCCAGGGGAATTAGATCGCCGTCGGCCTGTGGTGTGAATTTGGGTTAGTTGAGGGATTGGTGAGAAAACCAAGTCAAGCCGCCGTCCCCGAGACGTACAAATAATCTGCTGAGGAAGTCTTCGACTTCGTCGGTGGTCGAGGGCCCTCCCATGTTGAGGAAAACCATGGCCGTAGGGCCCTTAGAGCCGGTCGCATCCTGAGTGACTGGAGGCACTGCTGTTGCAAGGCCGTGTCTCTGTTCGTGGAAGTAATGGAACGAGGCGCGAGTTGCCGGTCGCAACAATTGCCGGGGAAGAGCGAATGGGCGGCGAAGAGCCATGGTGGTCTTTTGGCGACTGCCTGAGAGGCAGTACTGCGATCGGATATGGATGACTAGGATTGGAAGGGGTCAAGCGAATTGAAGGCAGGCCGATCGCAGTCGAGTCAATTCAGGACAGGAACAGTGAGTGGCAAGCAGAAGGCCAGATGTTGGGATTGAGTGAGACTGAGGGTGTGGGTGGCACTGCAGCTGAGAAAGCCGGCCTGGTCGGGAAAAGCCCAGAACTGGGCGGATGACGGAGACGGAGCTTGGCTGCCAAACCCCCGATGCACCAATCACCACCACCCGAGGGTCATCCAAGTCTCATCGAGTCTCAATTCATCGAGAATTCGAGATCCATGATGATCACATGATGTTCGTGTTTCCCCCGCGTCGGTCTCTCGCCCGCCAACCCGCGCGTCATCGCGACGCTACTGTATCCGTAGTGGTTGGAGCTTCCCGAACAATCGCCCAGGCAGCCAAACCACACTAGGCAGATACACCCACCCTCGCTTGACACATTTAGACATGGAACTTGAATGATTTCCTTTTGATTTCTTTCGGTCCTGGTAAATCATTGATGTTCATTCAAACTCACTCTAAACAACCTCAATTATGGCCGACAGTAATCCACCACGAGACGATGAAGTAGGCGAAGAGGAAGAAGAGGAGATCGATGAATCCGTACATCCTTCCCTTTGGCTTCAGGCCTGCCATCCTTAATGCACCAGCTAGGCTGATCATACATAGAACTACAAAACGGTGAAAGATGCGGTTCTCTTTGCGATCGAAGTTAGCGACTCGATGCTCGTGCCTCGCCCATCTGCCGACCCCAAGAAACCCGTGGAAGAATCGCCAGTCACCGCGGCCTTGAAATGCGCATATCACTTGATGCAACAGCGAATCATTTCTAACCCACAAGATATGATGGGGGTTCTCTTGTACGGGACGCAGGCGTCCAAGTTCTACGATGAAGACGAGGGTAGCCGAGGCGACTTGTCCTATCCCAACTGCTACCTCTTCACAGACCTCGACATCCCGTCTGCGCAAGAGGTCAAGGACCTTCGCGCGCTGGTTGAAGACGAAGGAAAAGCTAGAGACATTCTCGTGCCGGCAGAGAAGCAAGTGTCGATGGCAAATGTCCTATTCTGTGCCAACCAGATCTTCACATCCAAAGCGCCCAACTTCCTTTCACGACGATTGTTCATAGTCACCGACAACGACAGTCCTCACACTCAAGACAAAGCTCTACGGTCTGCCGCGACAGTGCGGGCCAAGGATCTGTATGATCTCGGAGTCACCATTGAGCTCTTCCCCATCTCCCAGCCCGAACACGAGTTCGACAGCTCCAAGTTCTATGACGTAAGATCCTGTCTCTGGCGGAATCCGTGCTGTACTGACTGGCTGTGAAGGATATCATCTACAAGACCTCTCCGAATGACCCCGATGCTCCTGCGTATCTACAGCCAGACTCCAAAGCTTCAACGGCTACTGGGGATGGGATTTCCCTTCTCAATACACTATTGTCCAGTGTCAACTCAAGATCCGTTCCTCGGCGCACTCATTTCTCGAATATGCCGCTGGAGCTGGGACCCAACCTCAAGATCTCAGTGTCAGGCTATATCCTCTTTCGGCGGCAAGCGCCCGCCCGCAACTGCTATGTCTGGCTGGGAGGCGAGAAGCCCGAGATTGTCAAAGGCGTCACTACTCAAATAGCCGACGACACGGCGCGCACGGTGGAGAAATGGGAGATCAGAAAGGCCTACAAATTCGGCGGGGATCAGGTCGTCTTTACCCCCGAGGAGCAGAAGGAATTGAAAAACTTCGGTGATCCGGTCATTCGCATCATAGGCTTCAAGCCCGCTTCGGCGCTTCCCTTCTGGGCGAACATGAAACATCCTTATTTCATCTATCCGTCAGAAGAGGACTACGTGGGTTCAACCCGCGTGTTCTCCGCCCTGCATCAGACGCTTCTGCGACAGAAGAAGATAGCCCTTGTCTGGTTCATTCCACGTAGGGCTGCCAACCCGGTCCTTGGTGCTATGATGGCTGGAGAGGAGAAGGTTGATGAGAACGGCGTTCAGAAGTATCCCCCTGGCATGTGGATTATGCCACTTCCGTACGCCGATGATGTTCGGCAGAATCCCGAGACCACCCTGAATGTGGCTCCGGAACCGTTGATCGACCAGATGCGGGTTATAGTCCAACAGCTGCAACTCCCCAAGGCCTGCTACGAACCTCTGAAGTACCCAAATCCATGTAAGTGTTTGAACTGCCCTTCGATCCGCGCATGATTGGTCATACACTAAACTGTTCTAGCATTACAATGGCACTATCGCATCTTACAGGCGTTGGCTCTAGACGAGGATCTCCCCGAGAAACCGGAAGACAAGACCGTGCCGAAGTATAGACAAATTGACAAGGTATGATCCTTCGCTAATGGTATTGCGACTTTCACTAATTATCAATGTTAGCGCGCTGGGGACTATGTGCTGTCCTGGGCCGACGAGCTGGAGAAGCAGTACGCCACGATTGCCGTCGAGAAACCCGCATCCAGCACCCTGGTCAAGCGAGGCGCGAAGAACCGAGCCCCCGAAGACGAAGAGTCCAGTAAGCCAGCTAAGAAGGTCAAAGTGGAAGCCGACAATAATATCGAGGAGGAGGTGCGGCGACATTATCAGAAGAACAACCTGTCGAGGGTAACTATTACGAAGCCCCTATGCTGTGTGTGACTATGCTAATATGTTTGCAGCTTACGGTGAATATTCTCAAGGATTTCCTCACGTCTCATGGACGCTCTGGGGTGGGGAAGAAGGCAGATCTGATCGATCGCGTGGAGCAGTTCCTGGAGTCTGGATAAGGGGTATTGGAAAGAAGGCATGATTCGAGGCATTACGATTGTACAGTACTTGTAAGCGGATAGGATATAGGGATTTATTGCATCATCATTAGAAAACAGATATGAACGTCCTATCAAATGATATCTAGCCAATCTAGACCACTTCAAGATGGCTACAGTTAAAGGCATCGAGCAATCTCGCTACCCCTGATTAGGGAGGCCCCTACTTGAAGCCTGGCTGGACGATCGACCATTGCTCAGATCGGTCGGGTAGCCCACCCAGCTACCTTGGAGGTCTTTCTCAGTGACATCATTGTTTCGTTGCTGTACTGTGATACAGACGTTGAGCCGAATTCCACCGAGGAGGTGGAGGAGGTGGAGGAGAGGACGGGGATGCTTTAGACCAGGGGCACTCCCACGGTTCGCCCCTGGCCAGAAAGCTTGGCATCCGAGTCCACCGCTCTAGCGGCGTAGTTACGGTGTATGAGTACTCCTGTATCTCTGGCAGTGGTCATGATTGTTGTTGATCTCGAACTTGCCCAAGCCCAAGCAATTCAAGATTGTTGGGCGACTATGGTTACGGCTAGGCGGAAGTTTATATCAAACCTACACAACCGCAAGGTGAGTCGGTGTCACTCCCTGCAAAACCTTAAGATGTGTATGAGCTGCAGCCACGCAGCATGTCAGTCCACATATTGAGTAGCAGATGCGGTCAACTCGGTGAGGTGTTCCTGTCAAGTGACGTACGCTCGCTCTGTTCTCGATCTGGCGACTGCAGCTCAGTTCCGGGTCAGGTGAGGTCACGTGTAGACATAATCGAGTGACTGAATCTGAATGTAGCAAACAAATCAGCCAAACAAGGCAAACCGAGCAAATAAAATCACTTAAGGAGGGCCAACCTGTCAGTCCAGGATTGGATGCGTCAATCTGGTTCTGGTTCTGGTTCATGCCGATTGTTGACATCAAAATAACCTATTGTAGACCTACGCTGGTTCCAAGGTTGCTCCTGACACCCCGTAGATAATCACCGGGTTGATCCCTTTTCTGTCTCTCTTTTCCGCTTCATTTGATTCCCTCCATTTATGGATGTCTGGACCATTGAGTATTACGTATCAGATCAATGGTTTGGGCGTCGTTAGTATGCCTGGATTGTCTCCATTCCACTGCAATAATTAGCCTGGTGTGCTGTGTATTCCTGAGGCCAGCCAAAACTACCTAGTACCCCTGCCGTCCTTCCTTTCCTTCGCTCTCCCTTCTCTCACTCCTACTTGCTAGTTAACGTTAGTCTTCTCCTCCTCCTCTTCTCTTCTCCTCTTCTTCCCTTCCCTTCCGTGTGTGTGTGTCTCCCCGCCCAACGAGTCGTCTACCGTCTCGTTGTTCCACCCCCTCCCCTCTCCGGCACTGCCTTTTGAAATCACTCCCTCACTCACTCACTCACTCCCTCCCTCCCTCATTCTTCATTTCTCAACTCACCCCCCTTCTTCATCTCCTCTTCTTTTTTTGCTTTCTTTCTTTCTCTCTTTCGCAATTAATCACCACTCTTGTCCTTCCTTATTATTTCCTTTCTTTCCTTTAATTCAATTGATCCTAATCTTATCGCCCGAACGGCACGTTAGGTGGCCGTTCATCATCGCACCCACCCGCTCCCCGTGGCTGATTAGCGCACTGCCTTCGTTTGTCGCGCCTGTCGGGCCTTGCTTGTTGCGCCGCAAGACCCCGAGAGCATCGCCCGCTGCCTGGTCCCGAAGGCTGAGCGATTGGACTTGACGATCTGGTTGGCCTGCATCCTGATTCGACGCACAACGAGGTCACCTTGCGTCTGCAACGCGTTTGTTGTCTGGCCTTGTTGTGGTGACGCTTTCCCGGTCGCACCTCGATTCTCTCCTCGGAACGACATCTAGCTGCATTCTCAACCCTTCGGCTCGATCAGCAATCTCGATCCCCTCCAATCCGTCTTCCAGTCGCCTATAGACGCGTTCGCTGCGTGGACTTGCCGACCCGACCGCGCGCATCCCTTGTGTCGCTCCACTGCCACGCACGGTTCGAAGCCCCGGTATTTGCGGAGCCAAGTTCGCTGGTCGGCTCAGTAAACAGAACTCACAGCCCAAGGAATCGACTTTGAAATAATCCGACGGAAAATTGAGCGCAAGCTGGAGGATGATTCAGAATTGATACGACGATACGAATACCGAGGCGACGAGTTACGCGGGATACCCACGGCACCTGAGTCTTGTCTTCAAGACCTCAGACCGCAACTGCGGCGAATCCATCCGACCGTTCACCACAATCTCCTCGCACTTGGACCACGATCCTGCCCCGCCGGATGATAAATAACGAAGTCCCGCCAATATGTCTACGGTCGAAGATCCTTTCGTCTCCCATGCCAGGGAGGGAATCGCTTCTCGCGATTCGCACAAATACTCCTCCTTTGACACCCAATTGTTCAGCCTGAATGCGTCCTCCCCCGCCCAAGCCAAACGGGCGCTCGAGGCCCATCTGGCGGAAACGGAGCGCCGGCTCGAAGAGGCAGGCAAGCTGGGAACGGCCCTGATCGAACAGCAGAAACAGCTCGAGGAAAAGCTGCGAGAAGTGGAGCAACAGCAGGAGGAGGGCCAAATTGGCCCGGACCTACGTCGAAAGCTCGTGGATCTGGAGAAGGAGTACAACGAGATTGGCCGCGAAACGGCACGCGCATTCCTTGCCCCGAAGCGTCTCGCCAGCGGTGAAGATAGCCACTTCGGAACTCCGCATGAGCAAAAGGTAGGGCGCATCCGTTCTGATGTTTCTTGCACACAACTAATGACGCTCGTTCTGTAGTCACCCATTAGCTCCGCCCTCTTCGCCGGCCAGGCCACCAACTCGCCCAGTAAAGTCAGCGTTCCGTCACGAAAGCAGCGCAATCAGCCTTCCAACCGGGTCCATGACATTGAGTTCGCCACCGAGATTTCCACCTCCCTCCTCGCACAAGTGCGCCAGTTGCAAGCTCTCCTTGCAGAGCGTGAGGATGCCCTCAAGAACGTGAATCTCGAGAAGTCGCGCCTCGAACTCGAGGCGGAGGGCTATGCTCAACGAATCCGGGTACTCGACGAAAGCGAAGAGCGCTATAAAGATGAGAATTGGACACTGGAGACTCGAACCCGCGAGCTGATGACAGCTGCCAAGGAAGCAGCCGACCGAGAAAGCAGACTCAATAGCAGCCTGGGTGCTTTGGCCACAGAGAAAAGCGCCATGGAGCGGGAGCTCGAGGATCTGAGACAGGCCAATGCGAGGCTGATCGAAGATCACACAGCTGCTCAGAAAGCCAACGATGCCGAGATTCACGTTCTGCGTCGCCACGTACATGCTGGAGATACCGAGAAGCTGGCGCTGCAGCAGAAACTCGAGGAATTGAACTCCCAGAATGAGGAGCTCGCCAGGGCAGTGGCCATGCGCCTCCGTCAGCAAGAACAAGAGCTTTCTCGCGAAGTCCATCGGGATCAAGACTCAGACGACCAAGACCAGTCGACACCCGAGAACTCCCCGCCGCCGTCTCCCAACAAGTTCACCCCGCGACACAACCACCTCGAAACGGAGACCTTGAAGAGTTCGCTCGGTCATGCCCACCGCATGATCCAGAATCTCAAGAGCACCATCCATCGTGAAAAGACCGAGAAAATTGACCTGAAGCGCATGCTGCAGGAGGCCCGCGATGAACTGGAGACGAAGCGCCGTGAATCCACTGCGCCAACCGGTCCGCTCAGCAAACGCCAGAAGACCAAACCTGACCCTGCACGCAAGGCCGCACGGCCCGATCTGCTGGGTGCGGGTCGGAAAAGAGCGGAGATTGAAATCCATGAATCGGACTGGGAAGACAATGCCACCGACGCCAGTCCCTCTCATAAAGCCGCTCTCAAGGCCTCCCGGGCCCGTTTGGGAGGACAGTCATCTGAAGAGCCGAGCGACGCATACCAGACCGCTACCGAAGCCGACGACAACTTTGAGACAGCCACCGAACGAGGAACGGCCACGGAAAGCGAAGCTTTCCAGACTGGCCTAGAAAGTATGGCTGATGACAGCACGGATAGCGGCGAGCTCACGGAGACAGATGACCGGCTCCAGAGGACGCCACGCGGGCGCGTGTCCTCTTTCACGATGGCCAAGACCCGCGACAGAAAGGCTTACGAGAGTACTGCATCCAACTCAAGTGACGAGGACGTGATCGATGAGGAAGGCTTCCCATCGCCTAGCCAAATTAGTCCTAGGTACAAGGTAAGGAACAAGAGGAGTATCGTGAGAAGGATCCGTCCGTCTGGCGAGGCTCCCATGGCTTCCAATAGCAGGCCCTCCACCGCTCGCGACTCTCCAGCCACAAGCTTCATGCAAAGCTCAGCAAGCCCAGAGGGACAGAGTCTCTTCATGGAGCTTGCTGAGTTGGATGGTGACGATGACCAAGAGGGTGACTTTGGACCTCCGATGCGCTTCGACACGGCATCCCAGGCCTCGACTCCGCGCATTCTCGCCGCTTACGATTCCAGACGGCCATCAGAAGCTGTTCTTGACACTGTTTCAAGACCTCTAATGGTTGATTCCGGTATGATGACGGACCCATGGGAGCCCGCCGTGCCTGCTGCAGTCACTGCAGTCCCTGCTATCGAGGAAACGGTTAACAACGTACAATTATCTTCCTCGAATCCAGCCACATCTGATGCTGGCACTGCGACGGAGCAAGAGCAAGCGCCTGAACTGGTGCACGCTTCAACGCAGTGGATCGTCCCTGGATCCGAGGCAGTCATCGCCGAGACCCAGAGAGAATTAGAGCAGCCATCCGCTCAGTTGCAGTTGGAAGTCTCCTCTGTTTCTTCTGAGGAGACCATTCCATCTCCACCAAGACGCCCTCATCTGGATACTGCATATGCTGTCGGAGTGACGACAGAACCCTCTGCCTCCGTCATCCCTCATCCGCCAAAGGTGGCGTTGTCTTTGATCTCCTCCGCTTCTACTGAGCCAATCGTTGCGAGTGTCCCTGAACCCGAACTTGCGTATGTTCCCAACGTGGCGATGTCAACAGTTTCATCTCAACATACCCTGCCCGTTGTGGCAGCCCTCCCTGAACCTGCGCCGGTGGTCGTCGTTGCTGAACATGGCACCAACACTGAGATTGTGGAGCTCACTGTCTCGTCAGTCTACTCTCTGGACACCGAGCCTGTCGCGGCCATTCCCAAACCTACTCCGGTGGTCGAGCCTGTGTTCATTGAGAAGCGCGTCGAAGTCCAACGGGAGCTTCCACCGCTGACTCTATCATCCATAGTCGCCCAGCAGACGGAGCCTGTCCTGGCAGTCGTTGAGCGGAGCGTAGACCCAGAGCCTGAGAACATTGTGGAGGGAGCCCAGGAAGTCGAGCTTCCAGAACTGGGTGTATCGTCGATTTTCTCGCAAGAAACCGAGCCTATTTTGGCTGTTCTGCACGCATCGGCTGAGCCGGAATTGGCAGTTCTGGGTGAGCGAGAGGTTGCCGAGCCCAAGCTTCCAGATTTGAATCTTTCTGTCATCGCGTCGGAAAGCACGGAACCAGCTACACCACAGTTGGACGAGGCACCAGTGGTTCAAGCTCCTGAAATCTCACTGTCTGGAGTGCGCGCGGTGGAAACGATCCCTGTCAAACATGTCCCGACGGCTGTTGTTGTGCCCCCGGTTCAGCTGACCGATGAAAATGCGCCACCGGAGCACAGCATCCAAATGGTCAAGGGTCTCCCTGCTTCCGAACTACCATTGCTTCTTGTCAATGATGATAGTCCAAGCAAATATGCGGCCAGTGGTACAAACGGAACGCCAGACTCCACTCTGCCTTTGAGCACCATTTCTGGCAATGCTGTCCCACGCCACACACGACAGCAATCATCGAGTCGGGTGGAACGGACTGACCAGGGTGCCCAAACAATCCTCTCGTCGAAGCAAATTGACCAGATTCTCATGGATCGTGTCACCACCCGGCCACTATCTCCTCCGGACAGTGACAAGGCCAAGGAGCAGAACACCTCACCGTTTGCCACACCCCGAGCACGCACTCGTCCCACTCATCAGTCCTCTCAATCCTCTCTCCCATCCCATCAGCTCAGGCCAGGCAGTTCGCTGAGCCATACCTCAAGCATCCAGAGCCACCCGCCTTTGCCCACCGACCACAAGGAGGCTATCATGGCGGCTGAGAAGCGATCATTGGACCAACGGCCATCTTCTCCAAACTTGATGGGTCCGCCCCTTGCCCCAGCTTCCGCTCACCGAACCAATGTAAGCCAGCGCCCACGGACTCCCAACGAGTCGGGTCTCCAAGTCAACTCGATGTCTACTACGACCTCCCGCGTCAAACTCAGAAGCGAGAGTCACAGTCACATCTCACGGAGGTCGTCGGTTTCATCCTTTGCTTCTGAGATCGATGAGCGGTTTGCTGCGCAGTCCATCGGCCCTCAGGGTTATGCCGCTGGTACGGACCCGAGGATGATCCAGGCTATCACACAAACGATGATTGGCGAATTCCTTTGGAAGTACACTCGCAAGACTGTCACTGGGGAGGTCTCCAGCACTCGACACCGACGCTACTTCTGGGTTCACCCCTATACACGTACGCTGTATTGGAGCGCGCAAGATCCTCAGACCGCTGGCACACGTGAACTGAAGACCAAGAGTGTTCCCATTGAGGCTGTCAGGGTCGTCCCTGATGACAATCCTTATCCTCCTGGCCTCCACTGCCGCAGTCTGGAGGTGGTTAGCCCAGGCCGCCGGGTTCGGTTCACAGCAACCACCAGCCAGCGGCACGAGACGTGGTTCAATGCACTTTCGTACCTCCTGCTGCGCAACTCGGCAGAGAATGGCGAGGAGCATCCGAGTAACGCTTCTCTGGAAGACATCGATGAGTTCAATCCCGAGTTCCGCTCACGCTCCCGCCAGACCTCGAGACTCTCCTTCTCCTCTTCGCGCAGTCGGAATGCACGGAACTGGCCCAAGGAGCGGGCCGGCTCCACCATCTCATCGCGCCGCACATTGACGCCGGGTCGAGGCTCCCCTTCGCTTGCCTCCCCCTCGTCCTTTACCGAGCAGAGGAACGGGTCTAGCTCCCGCCTCAGCACGATCCTGAACACGACGATCAAGGGGTCGTTTGGCCGCAAGGGTCCTCGTTATGCCAGCTCGAGTGTCCATGAGGGAAGCATTCACACCCGTGACAGCCAAGATGACTTTCGGCACACGATGGAGAGGCAAGAAAGCCAGGGTGACCGGCTCGAGAACGTGCGAGCTTGTTGTGATGGTATGTATACTCCTCGACTTGTCATTACTGTTCACCAGCTAACTTGACCAGGCAAACATGATGTCAGTGCCTTGTCTAGGACAAGCAAATATAGCCCGCGGGTGAACCGGATTCATTCCCATCATTGAACCTCCACCACTTGGAGTTGAGTTGCGTCGCGCGTCTATTGGCCGGGCTAATCATCGCCCCGAAACCCGTAGTTTTGCGTGTGTCTGCACGGATCTCTTTCATTGCATCGCCATTGTCATCGTACTGTTCACCCGACGGGAGTACCTTTATAATGTCTGGAGTTTGAATAAGTGCACACTGAGCGTCTGGAACTTGCATACCCTTGTTCGTCAAGGGCGAACTCGTCTCGTCTTGTTGTTTTCCCCTCCCCGGGCTCCAAACCCTTCTTTGTCTCTCTATATTTACTCGATTTTAATCCCCTCGCGGGCGGCCGCCCCATCCATCCCTCCTCCTCCACTCCCGGTGCCCGGTTGGCTTTTTGATATTCCTGTCATTCTTTTTTACTCTGTGTTTCCTTTTGGCTTATTCATTGCGCTGCGCTTTTTCTCCCATCGCATGAAAACCACCAACCACCTAACTTACAACCCAACCCAACTTACACACTTAACCTACCTACCTTTATCTACAACAAACACCCACTAGTGACGGTGATATTTTCCTTTTCTTATGTGGATTAACCTGCTGCTTGGCTGGCTTGAGGAGGCAATTGACACTCTTTGAAAGAAGGTTTTGATCTTGCTGTATTTCCCTGACGGACTGACTGACTCACTGTATACCTGGGATTCCTTTCCTGCTACTTAATGGATTGCCACTCGCGCACAGACACGCATGGATCTGGTTGCTTGGGGGTGTTTTCTTGTAGGCCTGTAATATGGGTTCGTGATGTATGTGTTTTGGGAGGGAGGTATATACCTGGCGGTGCGGCGTGTATTGTGCCCTGTGGTTGTAATGCACAGGCCTATTGTAGGCTAGAATCTCTGTCGCAGACAGTCAACGAGTAAGAAATGATTTAGGGACCGCCGCTATGGTGTATGCGTATTTCAAGGTATTGTGGCATGGTGGTAGAGTGTATACATGGCTATAATATAATTATTCTAAGAAATGCAAAAGGGTATCAATCATAGGTCATCAGGACACAGAAACAGAATATCTCAAGGAAAGAGCACAACCCGAAAGTAATATCCTCATCATCCACTCACTCGCATCCTGCAGAGCACGAGCAGGATACATATATACCGTAGATATACAGCTCTCCTTCCATTACTCCGTACCCCTGTTTCATCCCATCCTCCCATCAATCCCCAACCCAACCCAAAGTAAAGAATACGATGAAGTGAACTAAACAGGCTTCGCCCGCCCCGCGGGCCAGAAATCAAAGAGATCCAAGGCCTCGCGGGTCCAGGGCCCTTGGTCGAAGGGGTCGGCGGGGTCTGGTGGGATTGCGGTGGTGAAGGCGTTGCAATTGTTGGGTCTGTGGGCGGTGGTGGTGGTTAGGGCGGTGGGGTCGGAGTAGGACTTGCGGAGGCTGGTGTGCGTGATGTTTGGTCTTGGGTTTGGGTTTGGTTTCGGGGCTGTGTGGTTTCTTGGGAGGGGTGGGATGCGTGGTGGTACGTTGATGAGGTCGTTGAGGATGGTTTGGGTTGAGGTTGAGGGGGTGAAGTCGTGGGGTTTTGGGGGAGTGGTGGTTGTAGGTGGTTGTGCGGGGGGTGCAGGGGGTGGAGGTTCTTTGTTGGTTCTGGGTGGAGCTGGAGCTGGAGCTGGTTTCTTAGAGGGAGCTGGTGTTAGAGCTGGAGCAAGAGCTGGAGCTGATGCTGATGCTAGTGAAGCTGGTTTGGCGAGTTGTCCGCCGCCATTGGGGAGTAAGGCTGAGTACATCAGTTTCTTGCGGGGTTTGCTGGTGGAGAGTCGGAGAAGGACGGGTGGTTCTTCTGACGTGGAGGTGCTTTCTTTGCGTGTCGACGGTAGCTGTGGAGGATTGCTGCTCTCTTGGCGGGTTGCTTGTGGTTGTGGAGGAGGATTGCTGCTCTCTTTGCGTGACGTCTGTTGCTGGTGTAGAGTACTGTTTTCTTTGCGCGACACTTGTCGCTGTGAAGGAATAGTACTCCCCTCCCCGCGAGACATGCTCTTCGCAATAGCAGCTTGCACACTTGTCCTCGAGTCGGCCGTTTGTCGTCCAAGATCGTGGCTCGGCAGCCTTGTGTAGGTAGCGGTAGCGGTAGCAGCAGCAGTAGCAGTTGAATTCGACACCGACGCAGTAGACGAACCCGTCAGGTCAACGACCGCCGGCCGCGGTCGAGGCTGAACCGGCTGAGGCAGCACACGACGAGAAGGGACCTGCTGGTGCTGGTGCTGGTGCTGCTGCGCAGACGATCTTCCTTCCAGTGCACCCGAACCCACACAATCAACCCTCTGCCGTTTCGCAGCGCGCACAGCCGACCACTCCCCGCCCCCGCGATCCGGACCCTGCATAATCCGCGTCGCAGCCAACCCCGAAGTCCCCGCCCCTGAGCCCAAGCCCGTCCCCCCCAAAGTTGGCATCGTCTTCCTGATCCCCAGCAAATCATTCAAAGACCGCATAGACTGCTGCGGCTGCGGCTGCGACCCCGCCAACCCAGACATTCTCAAAGGCGACCCCGCAACCGAACCCTGCGTACTCCCACCAGCAGCACCAGCAGCACCAGAACCAACCCCGACTCCCCTCCTCCCGACCCCATCCCCCCCAACACCCCCACCCGCAGACCCGTGGGAATGCGACAAAACAGCCCCCAGATCCGTCTCCGACCGCCCAACGGCCTCACAGACCTGCACCAACACGCCGCGATCCAGCTCGAGCTCGTCGCCGTCCTGCACGGCCGCGTCCTGGCGCCAGTGCAGATCCCCGATGAAGTTGCCGCTGGTGTCGTAGGCCATGACGCGCTTGTTGAAGGTGTGGTAGCGCAGGTAGCCGTCCTGCCAGCGCTTGGCCTTGCGGCGCGTGTCGTGCGTGAAGAGGCAGCGGTGTTTGATGACCGGGGCGGTGTTTTGGGTGAGCGGGGTGGTGAAGGTTGGTGAGGTGGTGGTGACGCCCGAGGGGGTGGGGGTGGGGGTGGAGGGGTACGTCATTGTGTGGGCGTCTTGGGATCGAGCTTGGGATTTGAGGGAATGGTGGATTGTGTGTGGTTGGTTGGTTGGTGCGGAGGGGGTTTGCGTGTTGCCTGTTGCTGTTGCTGCTGCTGCTTTCAAGGTGGTGGTGGGGGAGGAAGGGTCTGTCCAGGGTGGGGGACCCTGTTCTGGGGGACCATCGGATTTGTGTGCGAGGTGGAGGTTGTAGGTCGTGGTAAATGGTGTAGCTGCTGTTGATCGGTGGTGATGGGTTCGAAAATAGAGGAATCGGACAAGTGGTGGGCGTGGTGTGGTGGTTGCAAGAAAGTTGGAGAAACCGACGCGGAGAAAAGATACTGAGTAAATCTCCCGGCGGCCGAGACGCGCCTGAGGCTGCGGTCAGTCCCGTGCCTGAGCTGAGCCGAGTATACACTCTTGTTGACTCCCGTCTCCTACATGGGCACTCTCCACTTCAGAGCCGAATTACTTTCAGACCACGTTGACTGTTACTCAGATATAAAGCTCTTTTGAGAATTGATAGCATCTCAAGTCCAAACGACTCCTACAATGCATTGTGATTACGACTTTTATCCTCTCCTCGACCACCGCCACACTCACTCCACATAATTAGCCGGAAAACTCCCCTTGACGCCCCTCAGCTCCCCCTCCCACCAGTCATCCGTACTCTCCGTCTTCTTCAGCACACGGATCCGGTCGCCCTCCCGGAACGACAAATCCCCCGCCCCCTGGCCCCCGAAGTCATACAGCGCCGTCACGAACAGCGCATTCTGCGAATTCAGGCGTGGCGGCGGAGGCGGAGGCGGCTTCTTCTTGCCCGCTACGGCAGACACTGCCGCCCGGGATGGCGAGGGAGATGGCTGGCGGTTGCTGCTGTTCGAGCGGTTGAACTGATTCGCTCGGGAAGCAATGGAGGATAAGCCGGGAGAGATACCCGCCGCCGCCGCAGGCGACAGGGAAGATGCCGATGCAACTGGGGTTGACGACTGAAGGTGGTTGCTACTGTTGGACCGACTGAAGTAGTCCGCACGAGCCGCAACGGAAGAGAGCCCGGGAGACACTGCTGCCGCAGCCGATGCTGGAGAGGGTGACGTATGCTGATTGTTGCTGCTATTTCGACCAAAGTAGTCGGCTCGTGAAGCAACGGAAGACACTCCCGGCGACGGGGAACGGATGTACTCGGCCGCAGAGACGTACGATTCAGCTGCGGGAGACGAGGCAGAGGTTTGGGGCCCTGATGCTTGGGGGGAGAGATGGTGACTCGAGCTCGAGGGGAGATTGAGGGATGACGTTGAGGCGGCCGGCATGCTCGACAGCTGCGGTTTCGGTCGGGGTATGGGTTTCGGCTTCGTTTCGAGATTCGGACGGGGCTTGGTATCGTAGGCGGGCGGTGGTGGCATCGGAGGAAGCTTAGTCTGAGCTGCCGGAGGCGCTGAAGGCGGGAGTTTGCGCTGCACTGCGGCGGGATTGGGGGAAACGGGCCGTGGAGGTTTTGGTGGCGGCGTTTCTTCGTGGGCGCCCGGTGAGCGGCAGTAACTAGAAATTAGATTCGCAGGGCGACTGAGATAATTATGGCCGTTGCGCTGATGTTCGTCCACCGGGGACATGCGAACGGTCTTGCCGTTGGCGATGCTAGCGAAACTTTCGGCTTCCTGCTGGACGGGCAGATGGGCGCGCTCCCAGTCCTCGACGATATGCTCCATTGGCGGCGCGGGGACCGGGAATTGTTCCTCCTGGCTGTACTCCAGCACCACGGTGTAGTAATGCGCTAACATACTGTTTTGGAGCTCAATCTGAGTGGCCAGCAAACGGGGGAGCAGAGAGAAGGCAGCGGCAATTAGCGGCGGGAGACTGTGCCGGAGTTGCTCATCCGCAGCATTATAGTCCTGCTCCTGTCAGACCACGTCACTGCGAGGATTTGTGGCGACCTACCTCTGTTGCTTTGGCGAGGTCACCCTCAGCCTTGACGAGGGCTGCATTGTCGCGATCCGATCGTTTCGTTTTCTTGGTGTAATTATCCACGCGACTCTGGTAGCGTTCATAGTCGAGCTGGAACAACTCAAATCAGCATGGACCACTCAAAGGTGGCGGAGAAACACACTTTACGATCATCCCGCTTCTTGATCGTCTTCTTCATCGGAACCAGGTACTCTCTGGCCTGGGTTGCCGGCTTGATCATCCGCTCGTCCACGGCGGTGATATCGGCCAGCAGCTCTCGCCGGAGCTCCTCGTATTGTTCCCGAAGCTTATTTGTCCGCGCCAGGGTTTCCCGTGGCGTCGGGGCGGCTTTTTGGCCGGTGGAGGAGTCGGAGGAACCGAGTATCGGAGCATAGAGGGCGTTGAATTCGGCGAGCATGCGGTTTTGGTGGAGGAGAAGCGAGGACCAGGCATCGCGCCATGCGCTGGTGAATTCGATGATCTGAGGGGAGCGAGTGACGGCGGGTGGCCGAAAGTTAGTTCCTGTGCTGCTGCGGGGAGATAGATGGTGGGTTTGTTTACATACTCGGCCCAGAAGCTTGTCAGCTTCCTCGAAGTCTTTGAGAAGAATCGCGACCTGGCTTTCGTCGGCGGACCGCTTCATGAAGCGGCCGAACTGCCTTTGCATGGACTGCATCGTGCCGCGTGGCCCCTCGGGGGGGGAAGAGGGGAGGGGAGCAAAACGAGGGGAACGGAAGGGGAGGTTCAGTGATGGGCCATCCAGGAGGGGGAGCAACAGTCTTAAGGAACGAATCGAATGCAGTAAAAAGAAAGAATTCCACCTATGTAATCATAAGAGCCAAGGAGAAGAAAAAGAAAAAGACAAGGATGCCAGTCAGACGCAAGAGAGAGGGAGAGGGAGAGGGAGAGGGAGAGGGAGAGGGAGAAGGAGTAAGAAGATGACGCAGCCACAAGTGGAGGAGGAAGTGGTGGTCAGTTAGTTAGTCCTGTTAGTCCTCAGGCTGTACTGTATCTACTCCGTACTAAGAAATGTTTCAGCCTGGCTGGGCTGGCCGCCATTGTTCCTTTTGGTGCCTTTCAGCCTGCTTTGGCCCGCCGCTAAGCTTCTGGCTGCACAAACCCCGAACCCCCCTCTACTGACTCCCCAAATTAACCCCTGTTTCTTCCTGAACTTGAAGGGAAAACAAAAAAAAAAAAAAAAAAAAGAAGGAAGAGAAATCAAATGATATTCTGAACTCATAGCACGAACATATACAATCTGTTTGATTATCCATTGCTCATAGAATAACTATCCATAGCCACCCTGAAGAGCATGCATACATACATCTATGGAGGAACAAAAAGTACGGCTCACAAACAATTCATCAGCCCAAGGCATAAGTGTCTTGTTCTTGTTCATAACACAAAACAATATCTCCAGGACCAAAACCGCTAGATGAAGGCACTCATAGCACCCCCATCAGTCGCTTCCACCCCAGCCTGGCGTCGTCGGCTCTCCAAAAACATCTCCACCATACGCTTGCTCGATATGGGCGAGCATGAACTTGGCGATGGAGTATCCTGACCCTTCATGTCATGGTAGTCGTTCTCGACTTTCACGTTCTCATTGGTTAGCTGTCGGTGGTCGCGATACCCTCGACTCGTTCGACCATGCAGGGACCTGGAATCCCGCGCTGCCGGGGGGCACCTGGCCGGATGTCTGCCGTACGTTGCACTCGCCATCTTATGAGATACTCCTCCAGATTTGTCTCTTCGCGGTGTCGGGGACTCGGGCATGCGGAATCGGTTTGATGGAATTGTTTGCATTGGCGACAACGCAAAACTGTCCCTGCGAGAATCGATTTGACTCTGGAAGGGGCCGTAGCTAATCGCATGGTGGGTGAAGCTTGGAGACATCGGTCTAGAAGGCAGCGGCGGGGGCGCTGGTCCGTCGTTCTGCTCTCTTCTCGTGGTTACTACGGTCTGAACACTGGACGACCGGCTGAAGGGACGCGAAAAATTGCTAGTCGAAGTGACCTTGCGATCCGACCACATATCGTCGTCGATAAAGACACCGCCTTGAGCTCTCTCGATCCAGCGAGTGGAAGCTTCGCTAAATAAGTCATCTTCATCGCTTTGGATCTGTGCATTCTCGCGATAGTGGGATTGGGTGGGGTTGAGATTCTCAATTTTCGCAATCTCCGTGTGCATCCATTGCTTCCAGTCCGCGCTGGGCCGGGCCGATGCTCGACGTGAATGAACTTCCGGATAGTGCTTCGGGGAGCTGTAGGTAGCTCGGTGAGTGTCGTAGATTGTAGCCGTTCCTGGCTCGTCTGGCAACTTGGAGGAAACCTCGCCGTTGGTTGTATCGAGCGACTTGCCGCCGGTGGAGCGAGAATATACACTGGGAGAGTTGGAAACTGCGTCAGGACTCTGATGATCGGGGGTACCTAGGCGTCCGGCGGCTACCTCCATAGACGGCTTGCTGGCCCTTGTAAGAGCAATGCCCTCGTTACCAGAGGTCAAGGAGGTCCTCAATCGGTTCTTGCCAGGACAAGAGGATTCTGGGAGGCACTGAGTGGGACACTGTGACCGTCGCGGCGGAGTCTTCGTGCCGGCGTTCGCGGTGATGAAGGACTTGGATGATGGGATGGATTCATCACTAGGAATCATACGGACGGTCTGCCCATTGTGACGCACAGCTACTGAGGCAGCAGGCGTTGGGACGATGCGATGCTCTTTGACATGACCAATGGCGATGCTTTCGCTTGCATCCGGTGCTTTGCCCTCACCAATCCTTCTCATCAAGGCGGAATACAACCGTTGGCTGTCAATCTTGGTTGTTGGCCTGACAGAGCTACCGTGGGAAATGGGGCTGTTTTCATAGGACGAAGCACCTGCAAGGGCCTGTTCCGAATGAACTTTCTCTTCAATTACCGACAAATGGCTTCGACCACCTATGTTGCCGGTCACAATAGTATTTGCAACGGTCGAGTCTGCCCAGCTTGTCACGCGAGAGCGACTCGTAGCCACGCTTTCTGAGCTTTCGGCAATCACGGCGTCTGGATACTGTTTCGTGTGTACATAGGCTTCAAGATGAGTCGTAGTAGGAGTGTGGGGGCTGTGCGTTACCCAGCGCCCAGTGCCCCGTTCATTGACACCTGTCCCTGTCTTGTCCTGGTGGGATGGAGAACCCCCCGGCGCCACGACTTCGCCCGCAGATGGTCTCGAAAGACCCAAGACCTTCTTGATTCCTTTCTTGATGGACGAAGAGAGAGATCTCGCTTTTCCATAAGAGTGAACGCTTCTGGGCTGGGGAGCCGAAGGCGTGCCAGCAGCACCCGCAGCCGATGCGGTCGGACGAAGCGTTTTTCTGAATGCTCTATGCTCTCGACGAGTTTTAGGCACAGACAGCCGCGGCTGTTCCGTCTGAGGGGAGTCATCTGCCGACTGCTGTTGAAACTGATTGCGAGCCAGGTCAATTGCCGTGTCATGACTCTGCACATGCCGTAGCGGACCAGCCGGCGGCTTTTCCCCGCGAAGAAAAGACATTGAACGCCGCAAGGTGCCATAAGTGCGTGCCGTACGCGAGGCTTGCTCGCCCTCAGTAATTGTAGCATCGTTCAAGGGGGAGGAGACTCCGTGAGACATGCGCGAACAGCGTTGTCCAGTGGAGAACATGGATCGTGACTTGCGCAGACGTCTATAAGACGAGGGCAAAAAATAATCTTGGCTGTCGAAACCCTGAAACTCGCTTATGGAAGGCAGTGTCACAGACGAGTAGTCCTCGCCGTGTGTGCTGGAGTCCATGGTAACTGAGGAGCGAGAAATTGCGCTGTCGAGGGGGCAATTGCTTGCGTTTTGCCGCGATCTAGTATATCGATGGCTTCTAGAGGGCACTGCCATGCTTCCAGGGCCGCCCAGAGCATCATACGAGCACTTGGAGCGCAGCATCGCGAGAGAGGCAGCTGTGGTGGCGTGTTGTCTCGCGACAACAGGATCGGAGGTGTCGCTGGAGACGGAGCTGTGGTGGCTTCGCCGGACGGAGCGCGCAGATTTGGATCTTCGCAAGCGATCCATTGTTCTCGACGACGGAGAACTGTTCACGCAAGCGGATAAGCTGCAGAAGTACCTATATCAAGGTCTTGTGATATTCACTAAACGATGTGTGGATTGGAAGCGGGACGCTCACGGCGGGTGGAGACTGTATGCTCGTAGGTGCCATCTTGCTGAGGAAGGGACGTTTGGGCGATTGCATGTTTGGGAGATGAGGCGCGTTGAATGCGCCTTCCTTAAGCTCCCACGACCTTACTGGAGCTCTTGCGAAGCACATATAATCTAGAGGTGCGAGTCGGATGTGGTGCTGTCCACATGGTTGCCATATGAATAAGTCGTGAATTCAAAGCTCACGATGTAACCGTAGCCTCTTCCTTTGTGGCCAAGTGTTTTGCCAGGTGTTTCGCATACAAGTTATATCTGATAGTCTAGTTGATAGAAACTATGCCATGGATTTGTGACTTGAGGTGCACTTTCAACGACTCACAATACCGTGAGAAGGTGGTCCATCAGAACCCAGTAATTACTAGTACATAAACACAGGACATCTCTATTTATGCCAAGCATCAATTGACCAACCACAACGACATGACAACTTATCTGATCACCGTATATAAAGCGAAAGTCATCCGAGTCATTACAATCCCTCAACCCGCCAAGCCAGGCAACACAGTACCAACTCTCTTGCCCATACTGACCAAGAAGAGTCTGGAACCCCAGGGATGATCCCCACCGCCGCCTCGACCGGTCTCGACCCTTTCCTCCACTCACCTCACATAATAACCCATCCCCAATACTCCATACATTTATACCCCATCCCAATCAGTCCACCGAACCTCACCTGTCAAATGCACTGTCAAAGCTCCAGCCGGCACCCAACATCCCAGTACCGTTCTATCCTTGTAGCCCACATTTAGCCCCCAGAAAAACCAAACCCCGCCATCAACTGGGGGCCCGGGAATGCTCGAACCAGTAAACCCGAGCACATATACTGTACATTACCTCTCCCTTATACCCACACCCCGAAGGGTTACCTCTCTCTAACCTGGACGTTGAAACTTATTTACCATTACCCCCTGCCTAGTCACCCTGGCTCCTATAATATGTACCGTGACCTCGTATCCCCAGAACCCACTGGACCGCACCCATCGCTACTAGGTACTTCTATAACCAACCCAACATCACCCATCTAGACCCATCCAATCCAATCCAGCCACCACCCCGACGGGAAGTAAGTACTAACAGTGCATTGCATCCCCCCAAGCCAACGCAGAGCAGATCATCTGCAGCCAACACCTACCTGCCAAGTCACTAGCCAGTCAACCAGCCAGCCAGCCAGCCAGCGCGACACCTAGTCAACCCGCACGGGAAGACCAAGGCAGGGCTCGACCCACGGACAGGTCTAGACGCCGATCCCGGCTGCATATGCCACCTACACACCACCCTTCTGCCGAATAATCGATAATAATAAGACGTCAGGATAAGAAGATCAGTGCGCCACCGCGCAGCCATCAGGGTTGATGTCGATGTCATTGACGAGTGGGGTTGCATGGTTTTGCTCGTGTTATTGCTTACTTTGCTGCAGCGGGTTGTCGTCTACGACTAGGTCTTGTTGGAAGGGGAATGACAAGATTACTGGTCTGTAGGTGGGTGCATTTTGTTGTATTGACTGGATGAGAACACTGTACACTACTCCGTACACGGATGGAGTTTTCCACGTCCAGTGGGCTGCGTGCGTATCTGCACTGCGGTCGTCGCCGTTCCTCGATCCATGCATGCATGCAGCAGCAGCAGCGGCGAGGGGGAAACATAGTGTCCAGCAGTGAACCGAGGCTGATTACTCCAGACAAATAGAAGTGCATCACCTCCGATCATCAACTTGTTCATGTTTGAGAGGAGAGGCCGTTTACCCCGCATTGACGTCAGGCAACCACAAAGCAGGAAAGTCGACATCGACACCGCACTGCCAGTCTCAGAGTATGCGCTGTTTGAGTGAATCATGACGATCGCAAAGAGGACGACAGAGACCAGAACCCAAACGCGTCACACCACTTACCAGCACCAATACCAGCATACTCTTAGAATGTGCCAGACCACCGGGAGGGAGCGGGTACCAAGTGAGGGGGTGGGAACTGGGAAGAGGGGAGGGGAGGATGGCAGTTAGTGGAGACCGGGTAGCAGATGGTGGATCAATGCCGTTGACGGGTAAGTACAATACTCATAGGAAGATATTTCCTGACGTTTTGCTAGGCTTGACCTCGCAAAGCGGCGGGCTTGGGAATTCGGCTGTACACATAGAGAGAAACTTAGTCGGTCAGTAATTCATACCGTGTCGGGATGCTGAGACCAGGCGACACCGTTGGTTAATTTGTTCTTGTTAATATTGTTCATAAAATAACACGAGTATCTATACCAGGCTGACACGAAGGCAGTGCAGTCTAGACTAGAGGGAGGAACCCCAACGGTGAGGACGGAGTACGGCAATCCCATTTCGATTAACTCCGTGCTGACACGACCACTCCCTCTTGGACCGTGGGCAGTACGGCTGGTCTCTTGCACGGGTGATCGGAAGACCAAGACCAAGACCAGGTAAAGCAAGGCAAGGCAAGGCAAGGCAAGGCAGAAGAACAAGCTGCAACGGTCCGGGCAATGCCGAGCGGGGCGGGGTCACAAGAAGGAAGGGGAGGAGCCCTGAGGTGGAATTCATACGTTGCGCCGCACGCCCCCCCTACCAAAGACAAATGACAGGTGACAGATAAGCAGTTACGGCGCAGGGATGGTCCTCGGGACTGGCTCTTACTAATGGTTGATTCATGATGACTTCGAACTCCGCCGACCATACCGTAGTACCTTGGGTATACCTGGTCTGCAGGGTGCTTGGCTCGAAGGGTCACATGGACAGTCGAACGGTACTTCCAAGCAAGTGGTGAGATGCTGATGCTGCAGGCATCACGGGCTCCAAGACGAAAGAGATCAGCTGTTCACGACAGACCAGCGTAGAAAATCGTAGAAGCAAAAAGTAAGAGAGGGGGGAAACAGGGTTCAAGGCAGATCCCGAGAGGGTCATCGATCTACCGAGGAATGGTGTCACCACACTTCACCCAACCCGTAGGAAGTCTACTCACTCGGTGTCCGTTTCAGGCATCTAGTAGGAACCAGGTAATAGGTGCAGTGCGAAATTCGGGCTTTCTTTGTTAAAGACGGCTACCTACTTTCGAGACACGAATCATGATCATAGCAAAGGGAAAGAAAAAGAAATAGGGTATATTCAAGTATGACGAGTAGAAAAAAAAAGGAAGTACCTTGGATCGTACAGGTAGCCGAATTGGGTATGGGTAAATCGGCCAACGCATATTACAACAACGAAAGCAGCAAAGACATGACAAAGAGAAGAATTACAAGACGATGTCAGGATGAAGTCGTGATGATGATCACGCACAAAGGAAGGACCAGGAATAAAGGGGGGAGTCAAGGATAGTGAGAAGAAGGGAGAAGAAAAAGAAAAGAAGAAGAAAAGGAATTCCACCTGCGCCCACTGCCCGCCCGCAGCAGAGATTCCCAGTTGCGCGCGCGCTGAGTTGACATTTTTCTTGTGCGCCATCCAGAAGATCGACTGCCCATCGCGAAGACCGAGGGATACTCGGATCCCTATCGCGTCTTTGCTGTAGACCAGCTGTAGACCGTTCCGGAACTCCCAAATCACAGTCAACCCGCATAAACCACCCAGTAAAGCAACCTAAGAACCCCTGTAGACCCAATGCTGTGACTCCGGTTTGCCGATGCGAAATACGATGACAAAAATCGTGTCGCAGAGGTCCATGCGCTTTCCAACTGTCGGCAGGTCCATCGGAGATAGCGATACCGCGTTGGCGAGTGAGGGCGGGCGTGCAGCGAAGCAAAAAAAAAGAAGCGTCCGACCGTTGCGATCGGTCGAGATGCAACAAAGTCGCCCTCACACGGGTCTCAGCCCGAAGATGATCGATCCAAACTCCCAGAAATGCATTCCAGTCCGAGCACATGATTAAGATGCAAAAAGAAACGCGAAGGAAATGTGGGCGAGGGCACAAGGGCCTCCGGGGATCGGTCCCAGCCGGCAGGACCCCTGCCATTCAATAATAGATAGAGATCCGGGAGATAATCCGTTGCGCCCCTGCCCGTCGCAATGTTGCCATCAGGTCATTCATCATGCGCAGCGATCGATCATCTCCTTGTATGGTGAGTCGTTCAGAATCTCCGACGGCAGGGCTCGACGGTAATCTCTGGGTTGGGCGAAGGGAGAAGTTGACCGAGGGTGACGGAGCTTCAATTGCTGTAGGGCCCATGAGTCAGTATAAAGTAGGAAGTAAGCTTCCAGCGGGATGAACATACCACACAGTCGGGGCATTTGCCGCCATTAATGTTCACACGGCCACGGCAGCCACGAGGATAGTTAGCACAGGAGAACATGGTGAATATCGGAAGTCGAGTCGAGTCGAGTCGAGTCGAGTGAGTATCGTAAGATAGCAGTCAGGTGTTGGAGTTGCTGGATGAGTGTGGTCACGATTGACTGAAAGGCCGGAGCTGAATGGAATCCCGTCAAGGGAGCTTTTTCTAGGGCTGGGGATTTTGCGACGACTTGAAGCGGAACCAGGCCAAGTTAAAAGGAAACCCCAGAAAAAAAAATTCCAGAAGATCCGAAAAAAAAAAATAGTCCAGAAAAGTAAGGGCAGTTATAGATAATAATAATCTTAGGGCCTTAGGACCCAAAGGAAATTAGACCCAATTCCACGCCACGGGGCAATTACGTCAAGATCGCAAGGCCGTTGTCCTGCAGCGACACCAGCAAGGGGGGGGTGTTCGATTGTGAGTGGTTTGGTGGAAAAGGAATCGCAAGCGCCGCGCCGGGGGTCCGTTGAGGTTCTAGCGCTGAGGTTGGGCTGCGCCACTATAGTGGGTGGTGGTGGGATGGGGCGAAAGAGAGACAAAATAATAAAAATGATAAAAATGATGATAATAATAAATTCACAACAAAAATAAGCAAAAAATCCAAATGGACGTGGAGACCACTGAAAATGCAACCGTAAAGGAATGAAGGAAGGGATGAAAGAAGGAGACACAAAATTGAACGATCAACGATCAATGATTATCACCGTGAAGAAACTGAATGGAAGTGAGGAATCTCGTTGAGAGGAACCAACTTGGAGGGCAGAAAGAAGAAACGAGAGATAAAGGTAGTTAATTGCAGAGATAGGGATCCCAATGATTTATATCCGTTGTTGGATGGAGCACGGGAGATCTAGTGTCAAGATGCGAAACAAGCCAGAGAGTGTTTGGGGCTAGGAGCACTCGGACTGTAGGCGAGAGAGAGAGTTACGACTCACGAGAGAGGTGAGAGACGGGGAAAAAGGGCAGACCCGTCGTCGTACGGTTAGTTAGGCATTAATGACAATCAAATCACCGCAATTGCAAGAACAATATAAAGCATGCTCTGCGAATGGTCCTCGCTGTCCCGGCCAGGGAGATTAAAATTTGGGTTCCATGCCATCTAACGGGCCACGGGACGGGGAGAGGGGGCTCAGATGGAGCCCGGATTGTATAGAAAGATGATTCTGATGCAGTCAGTCGTCGAATGAGAGGCACCAGTTGCACTGCTGTACGAATCGACCTTCAATGACTTCTTGGTACCTGAAATGGTCCCGGGTGACAAGAGAGAGTGTGTGTGGCAATGACGAGACTGGCCAGGTGCAACAGGCAAATCATGGTTGACCCAAGGCAGTCGTAACAATCCTTCGCTTGAGATCCTGGGCATCACTGATGGAATCGTTATTGGTAGTTTGGTGGCCGCCAAAGTCTCAACAGTGGATTCCGTGTTTCTCGGCTGGATGTTCGAAAATGATCCAGTAGGGAAGACAAGAGAGGGGAGACAGGAGAGAAACCCAAGAGCCCCAAGAAAATGGAAGCAAGAAAAATGAAAGAAAATTCCCCCATTTAGTGAATTATTATTGCTTTCCCCTCTCATAAAAGTTCCAAGACGTGCCTCACATTCTGCCCCCATGTTACAGCTTCCAATTCACCTACTGCTGGCAGAATTAATGACTCGCAGGTGATTTTTGCTTTTGGCCCCTGACTGACTTTGCCTCAACTGCCTGGTTGTACTGTAGTCTACGGAGTACTAGCCGGGAAAAGGGACAGGCAAGCAGAGACATGATTGCAGGGCGGCGTGGGCCCTAGCCCTGTCAGAACAATTAATTAATTCTCTTTCCTCAACTTAACCTGCATCCATGATGGTAATATGCCAATAATGCTTTGTGGATGTGGTCAATTCCCGATCGACTCAAGAATCCGGCTGCCAGAGTAAAGCATACTATGGAGTACTATGTAATTGGATGACTGGCCATCGACCAGCCGTCATGCATCATCGTCAAGGAGTTTCGGATTGATGAGGGCTATGAGAAGCGTAGCTCCAGAGTCTGGATCTTGGGCCGAACCGTCGCACCAAGGTCGAAGTTTCCACAGTTTCTGGAACGTCGACTAAGCTTCCCTACTCCTTTTTTTTTTCTTTTCTTTTTTTCTCTCTCTCCTTTTACCCTTTTCCCATTTGCTTTTGCTTTTCCCCGGGCCACTTTTTTTTTTCCCTTCCCGTTTTGTGTCTCTCCCATTTTTGCCCCCTTGGGTCTAGTCCTTTTCGGACGGGGGATTGCAAGTCTGGGCAGCAGCAAGTCGGCTTTCGGAAAACACGGGATATGTCAATCCATTGACGAGAGGTCTGCCTGATTGTCCGTCTTGTCGAAGATCCCTGCATGACATTAATGACGGGTTACTTTGGCTGAGCGAGTCAGAGGGCAGGGCGGATTGACAGGAATGGTACCGAGCTTTGTCCTTTTCATCTTTTCATCTCTCCATCATTGAATGAATTTTCATTGAGCATTGAATCGGACACTCACATCGGCAGATCACCTGTTCCACCCGCTCACCCCCAACAAGGATTCTCGTCCTTTTCCTTCGGCCTTTCCGTTTGGCTGGAGCCCAGCTGGAGCCCAGGCCAAGAAGAAGGTAGAGGTAGGCAAGAGTACTGCGAGAGGAAGTAATGCTAATGCTGACTGCATCTAGTCCATCATCTTTAACCACGGGTAATCAAGACTGCAGTGGACCGTAAGTAACCGCGGTCCCAGTCGGTTGGGTTGGCTGAAGTGGAACAGTCAGCATCCGCCGCCGCCGTCACTTCCAGCCAGCAAGCCCTCAGCTTGTAAGCCGTAAATCCGTCTAATCCTGGTCGATTGGCAGGAATGACTGCATGACTGCATGGGGCTAATAGTCCATAAGGTACCTCACCTCAAGCCTCCAAGCCTCCCAAGCCTTCCAAGCCTCGAAGGAAAGTGTTCAACGAGAGTGCAGGGATTATTCTGCAACTGATTGGTCTGTTCGTCTCTGAGCCTCATCTTTTTTTCCCGAGGCAGCGTAAAGTAGTAAGATGGATGACACCTGGAAAGGTCGAATCCTTAATCCTCATCCTAATCCTAATCCTAAGGTAAGGCGTTCCGGCGAGAAGGTCCAGAACTTTCGGCGAGCAACAATCCACGGGCGATCAAAGGTGATTACACATCTGATTCTTAGCTGGCAAGGTCACTTGACCCAGCTTGATCATGTGCAACCACTGTTTGAGGGACAATTCTCCGTCACAGTGTTCCATGGGCTGGATGCTTGTGCAGTGCTACAGTACCTAGACGGTGATGGCAGTCCATGCTTCGGCTGCATGTCACAATCGCAATCCCTCGTTCCCGACCAGTTCCAGAACAATCAATTCAATTTCTGGAGGCCTCCACCCTCCCGATTTGAATTTTGACATACAACATATCATACATAGTAAACATACCTTGCCACATCATCCCGGCATTCCTCAACACCCCCCCCCCCCCCCCCCTCTCCTTTTCTCACTCTTTGAGCTGAGCGAGTAATTTTAAGCTCTCACGCAATTCGGCAAGTCTAACCGTTCGAGATCAAGATCGGTCAGGGTCGGTCAGGGTCAGTCAGGGTGGTATGTAGCCTGTTAAGTTAGGCTCGGCTCAGGGCTCAGGGTGTAGGGTACAGGGTACAGGACATGGTACAGGCAGGGTACATATTTGCATTGTTATCAGGAACATCACATTTGACATCCTTTGTTCACCGGCCAGCTGTCACCTCACTTCGCCCACCACCCGACCTTTCTACTCTGGACAAGATCGTCGTCGTCGTACGATGTCAATCGCTTAGCATCCTCGAATCAAATGCGAATTAATATATATCCATTCAATTCAGTTAATCAATCAGCCGATTTCCCAGCGCAATCACTTCGCGAAGGGAAATGAGTGAGGAAAGAATCATGGCTAATTAATCTCGACTCCCAACGGCCCAGCTCATAAAAATTCCCTTTCCGGATAATGCAGGTAGGGTCAATTTCCGTATCCCGACTTCCGTCTTCCGTGCTGCTCTCTCTATGATTCTCTCTTGTTGCTTTCACAGTACGGAGCACTATGCATACTACATAGATCAATCGTAGTTGGGTCAAATTAAGCGACCGACTTGACTTCTGGGTACCTTCCTGCTCGCTGCTGGCCCGAATCGGTTTCACCAGTGGAGGGCAAAAGAGCGGGGGCCCAAAGACAAGACAAGACAGACAGACAGACCCTTGTTGTTAGTTCAGGCTCCAGTTCTTTTTTTCTTTGGTTTATTTTTTTCTTTTCTTTTCGTTTTCCGCCCTTCGACGGAGCACTAAGCATGTCTCCTTCTTTTCCCTAGTGACTGTCTATAAGTACGTTGCCGCCTGCTTGGCCTCGCTGTCATCCGACAATCCTCCTATAGTACACGATCCAGAAGATGAGGCGAGGCAAGCGCATGTTTCCGACCCTCGCAGCATCAAGTTTGCTTATCCAAAGCTAGGAACAATAGCGAAGAGCGAGAGGTCGAGCTTATCGAGATTGCGAAGACGGGTTAGTCTAGTCTCCCCTCTACAAGTGGCAGTCTTTTCTACCGCGCGGGTCTATCCACAATCGAACTCCATCTTCGAGACTAAGATTCAAGCCCCATCAAAGAAGAAAAAAAAATCTCCCGACTTCATTCCTAAACCCCGGCCGAACTTTTTTTTTTTTGTCCCCTGCCCCTCTCATTCCCCCTCCCTGTCTCGCTTTTTCTTACTCCTTTTCCGTGTGGGTGGGTGGTCATGTGATGCACTGTAGATGTCAGAGGGAGCTTGGTGATAGATAGATGACTAAGTGGCATCCCTAAGTTGCCAAAATAACTAATTAACGGAATAATGAGTGAGGCTGGTCCAACACGGGAAAACCGTTTTTTTTGCTCGATTTTCTGACTCAGATCTTAGGGACCTGGTCTATTGCATCGATCCGTCCTGGTTGTTTGAACCGTTATCCATGACATCCAATCCTTGTCTGCTGCTGCAGTTGTTGCTGCTTCCCTTTGTATGAAGAAAGCTAGCGGGTTGGGCGGAATCCGCCCGGTCTAGATCACCCTTGCAAATCGTTCTGTTCACCTGACCTTCCCGTAACTTATACTTCTGGCCTAGAAGCTACCATTGCGCTTCTAATCCCGATGCAGCTGCTGGTGAACGGTGAACGGTGCATCAGGATCTTCATGGGTGCGTGACCTTCGGCGATCATGTCCGGTGGCACTACTGCTCGGTCGGGAGGAAGAAAAGAGAGAAACTAGGCTAATTGTCTGTCTGTCTTGTCTGTCTCGTGTTGGCGCGGGCAGAGTCGAACTAGCTGAGACCTCTGTGCCAAAAAATAGGTCGCCAAACCCGCCGGACGCGGAGTCCACTGTTTGAGCGTGAAACCCGAACGAACGGTCGCAGGGGGGATGTTTGGCTTATTTTGAGGTGAACGACTCAGGACCACATCACACTTTCACAGTTCACACCTGTTCGTGTCGGCAATTATTCATCTGACTGGATCGAAGATCAATCCCCCCCCTCCTTGTCTCCCTCCGATCGACATGGGGCAGGGCTCCGCGTAGGAGGGGAAAATAAGGGGAGGGTTTCAAGTCGCAGATTTTCTTTCTGACACTAAGGCTGCAACGCGACGCCTCGTCAGGCGTTCAATAGTGAGCGAAGCACGAGCCATGCACCCAGAAGCCCAACCACCGTGGCCACCAACACCCCGTTGCCCTCCCAGGTCAGCCCGAGATACGCGACACAGCCCACCACCAGCTCCTTCCGCCGCGCCGCATCTCGTCTACGCGCCCAGTCTGGGTCGATCGGGAACGGGCCCGCCGCCGGCCGTTGGGCCAGCGCATCTGCTGGTCGCATTGGCCGGGCCGGCACGGAGACCGCGAGCGCGACGGCACGATGGTCAGAGGTTGGAAACAGCGGCAGCGCATCGTAGCGCAACGGCCGGACGGGCTGTCCAGGCTGGTCCAGGTACAGCACACGGTCACACCAACTGGGCCAGCGGGTCCCCGTCCACTGCCAATCCTGCGACAATGCGCCGTGGTGATCGCCCACCGCTTTACTTACGGCGTGACGTGCCGCCAGGCTGTACTTGTACGTCGGAGGAAAGCTGATCGGCGCCTCCGATAGTCCCTGAAAGCACCGCGACTGGGCCCTCTCCCGACTCAGCTGATCCTCCTTGAGCAGATGCGAGTAATGGCGCGGGTCCGACGTCTCTACATTCACCCGGGGGAATCTGCTCGTCCGATCGCCCGGATGGGGCGGTCGGTCGGCCGTCCGGTAGTTGAGGTCTCCTGCCAGAAAGAGGTAACTCGTAGGGACGTAGATGCCCCGGAGATCATGTTGTTGTTGCCCGACCGGCGAAGCCGCTGCAGAGTGCTGTTGGAGCAGGGGTGCGCTTTCCGATAGTGCGGGATTGTCTTCTTCTTCGGTCATGTCAGGCTCCCGACCTGCAGCGGCGACACGACTATCCTGACGCTCGAAGACCAGCCGTTCGACCAGGCTGCGCCAATCCGCATTCCTGCGCTCAACCGCCCATTCCATTGGCGCGAGATGCGCGGCCACAAAGGTCAGCTCTACGGGTTGTTGTGCGTCTTCTCTTTCTCCTTCACCGTCCCGCCGGGATGATGATGATGAGGTTGATGCCAGGTATCCGAGTCGCGCTCCCACGGCACCCTTGTTGCCCATCTCTTGGAACCCAAAACCTATCCGGGCCGTCTCGAGCCAGGCTATCTGGCCTGCCACGTCGGACCGGGCAAACACCATCAACCCTGTCATCCCGGAGTTGTCCGTCACGATGTTGACGTAATGTACATCATCCCAGCGCTGCGCGACCGCGCGGTTCACCACCTGGCTCAGCGCGTCGAAGTACGGGGTCAGGAATGAGCCCCCAAGGAAGGCGTACGCGATCGGCGCGATTTCTTGTAGCGAGAGTACGATGAGATCGGGGGGAGGGGCAGATGAGGAGGAGTTGTTGAGATTGTCGGTGAGCGGGAGGGAGTCGAAGAAGTGGTGAGAGAATCGATCGACGTCGACGAGGTTTCGGGCGCAATTGAAGGTGAGAATGTAGAGGTTTAGTGCGTCCATGGCTGGTACAAGCTGTGGAATGTTGGTGTTGGTGTTGGTGTTGGAAGGTTGTGTATGACTTGACACCATGAAAGAGAAGCAGAGGATGAGTGCGGAGAGTGGCTGCTGCTGCTACGTAGTTAGTTGACTGCTGCCCAGTGCACAGCTGCATGTGACGATCAGAGAGGTGGAGTGGAGCCGACGGCGGCAGATGAGGTCATCCCTCTTTGTTTTCCCTTTCCACCAACTCACTCGCTTCACTCACTCTACCTCCCCCTCAAGAACCAGCGCAGTTCAGATTAGGTGCTGACGAAGATGGCTTCATTCTTTTGCCAGATACCCCTCCACCAAGACATTTTTGTTCCTGGATCACAGCTCCCGTACGAAAGGCATGCAGATCGCGCTATATTTATCGCGCTGTCCCACAATCTACGTGATGCAAGGGAACCATGGAAATATGTAAACAAGGTACGTGGCAGTCTGCAAGGTCACGCTCTAGAACGTTTCTAGACTCTTCCGAATCGATGGCACGCAGAATGTCAAATGTAGCTGGTCTGGAATGCGGGCTACCTTTTTAATAGAACTTGCATGTTGGGGGTGTCGTCTACCGCACGCGCTGCAATACCTGGCACTCAGTAAAGGGACAGTCACAATTTCCCCTTCACCGCGTTGTCCTCCAATTCGACCAATAACATGCCTTCTGCTACATCGTCCTCGTCGTCTTCCATCGCATACACCCAGTGCGCGCGGCCCGCGCGGGTGCTGCGAATCTCCACCTCCATTTTCATCTGCTTGACAAAGGCCACGACCTGGTCTTTGGCGATGTGATTGCCGGTCGCCACTAGGATCTCGATCAGCTTGCCGGACAGCGGGAGGACAATGTGTCGCGGGTTGCGGGTGTCCCCGCGCCGATGGGTGGACGAGACCAAGGCCGACGCTGCAGTCGTGGTGGCTGCGAGCTGGAGGCGATACGCTGTTGACGAGGTGGCGGTGGTGTACTCGACTTCGGCTGCTAAAGTGGAGGGGAAGTCGTTCTGGAGTACGCGCGTCACCCGGAGATGATGACGCCGGGCGTCCGTGTCCTGGGGTTGCTTCTGGGGAGAGTGGAGAGGCTCGAGGACAACTGACCATGCGTCGCCCCCGCGAAGGAGTGGATTTGACGCTGGGCTTCCGACAAGCGTTGAGAAGCTGGCTCTCGAATGGGCATGTTCGCGGCGACCTGTTCCCGCATGGCTCCCCAGATCAAGGACTTCCGTCAGGTGCGACTCCAGCCATTGGTTGTCGATTCTGCCCGACAGAAAGTCTTCGTGGCCGGTGATCCCGCGCAGCAGATCTAGATTGGTGCGGATGCCGCCGATTCTCGTGTCTGCTAGCACTCGAAGAGTTTTCTGCACCGTGGCTTCCCAGCTGGATGCGGTCACGATGATCTTGGCGAGTAGATTATCGAACTGGGTGCCAACTGTCACTGATTCTGCACCAGTCGAGCTCACATGGGTATCGATTCTGACCCCGTTGCCGCCTGGACTTCTGAACTCAGTCACTTTGCCTGTGCTGAGCGAGAAGCGGTCATGAGGATCTTCGGCGCATAACCGTAGCTGTATGGAATACAGACGAGGAGCTACCAGTGATGCCGGCTCTAAACCAGCCTGCGAAAGCGTACTCCCTTGCGCTAGTCGCAGCTGTATCTGGACGAGGTCGATCCCATGAATCGCCTCTGTAATGGTATGCTCGACTTGTAGACGTGGATTGATCTCAAGAAAGTAGAATTGGCCTTGCTGCTCATTGACCAGAAACTCCACAGTACCTAGCGAACGGTAACGAACGGCCTTCGCCATGCTCAGGGCCGCATCCAGCACCTGCTGCACCAGATCTCGGTCGAGGATTAGAGACGGGGCCATCTCGACTACCTTCTGGAACCGTCGCTGTACGCTGCAATCGCGCTCCCCGAGCTGACAGACGTCATGTCTGTCACCTACTACTTGCACCTCGATATGGCGATATCCGTCCAGTGCGGCTTTCTCTGCGAAAACCGTCCGCGAAGGCGACTCTGCCATCGCTGCGTCGACTGCACGCTCCAGGTCACCTTCATCGCGGACCAAACGAATCCCTCGCCCCCCACCACCGTCCACAGCCTTAATCATCACGGGGTATTGGACCTTGTGTGCGAAATCCCGGATCAGGGCGATGTCGGCTGTTGGGGTCGGCGTGGCTGGCAAGACAGGCACACCGCACTCGACAGCAAGTTGCTTTGCTTGGAGCTTGTCGCCGCTTCGCGCCAGTGTCTCCCAGCCTGGCCCGACGACCGCAACTCCGACATCTTGCATGTGGCGGGCGAAGTCGGCGCTCTCGCTCAGGAACCCGTAGCCCGGGTGCACGGCCTCGACGGCATGCTCTTTCGCAAGACGGATCAGCAGCGGAATATCCAGGTATGCTGCGGGCGATTCCACCAGGATTTCCTTATCAGGGCGACCCAGGTCGCAGTGAGAGCGATCTTGCTCTGTGTAAAGAGCGAGCACTTGAATTGGTGGTGACAGCTCACGGGCTGCTCGGATGATGCGCACCGCTATTTCGCCCCTGTTCGGTCAGTAATTTGGTCTACCGGGCTGAGATGGAAGCATACCTGTTTGCAACAAGCAAGCGTGTGAGCGGTCGAGGTCGTGACATTTTAGATGGTCTATTGTCTTTGTGCAGTTGGCCTGGCTTAGTGATTGTTTATGTTGATGTGGTTCATCCTCGGACCTCGGGGCTGAGGGCTGACTTAATCTTACCCCTCACGGCTGATCATCTCTGCAACGATAAACCAGCCACAAATTCAGAGCCCTTACTGATCAATCCATCAAAATGCCAGATGACAATAGCGATAGCGACGCGAAGGATACCCATCCATCCTCAGCGACTGCTTCAAAGCGCTTGCGCCAGGTCGCGTCGCATCTACCGGCCGACTACTCGGATGTGCTCGCTCAAATTGAAACCCTCCGCAGTATCGCTGCCACGCCCGACGCCTTTCGACGGGGCTACATCCGCCAGAAGCAGGCCGGAAAGTTATGGGTGCGCGCGCGACTGGACGCTTTGCTCGACCCGGGGAGCTTCCAGGAGATAGGCTCTCTGTCCGGCACCGTGACGTGGGAGCAAACCGGCCCGATGCGCGAGAAGCCCGTCGCGTTCGTACCGAGTAACAATGTTCAAGGGACGGGCCGGTTGCGCGGCCGTCGTGTGCTGCTCACAGCGGACGACTTCACCCTCCGCAGCGGGCACGCGGATGGTGCCTCGCACGAGAAGACCATTTACATCGAAAAGCTCGCGCTTGCACTAAAGCTACCGATAGTCAAGCTGGTCGATGGAAGCTCCGGGGGCGGCAGCGTCACGCTCATCCGGTCGGCAGGGTACAGCTATCTGCCCTATGTGTCGATGTACAAATACGTCGTGGAGCAATTGAACCAGGGAATCCCGAATCTCGGTGCGGTTGTCGGTCCAGCCGTAAGCGTTTCCCTAGCGGGTGACTGCAACTAAGCTAACGAAACTACGAACGTCTTGCAGATCGGCCTTGGAGCTGCGCGTGTCGTGTCGTGCCATTTCTCCGTCATGGCCGCCGACGTGGGCTCGCTGTTCAACGCCGGCCCGGATGTAGTCAAAGGCGCCACCTTCGAAGAAGGTCTGGATTTCCAGACGCTGGGCGGGCCCGTAGTGCACTGCACCAACGGAACCATCGACAACGTCGCCGCCAACGAAGCCGAGTGCTACGAGCAGCTGCGCACGGTGCTGGGCTACCTGCCCAATTCCGGCCGCGAGGCGCCACCCGTGATCGCATCCGAAGACCCGGCTGATCGGGAAGATGAGGCCCTGCGCCGGATCATCCCACGCCGTCAGACCAGGATGTACAACCCCTGGACGATTATACGCAGCGTGGTCGACTGTGGGTCGTGGTTTGAGATCGGGCCCCTGTGGGGCCGCACGGCGATCGGGGGGCTGGCGAGGCTGGACGGGCGTCCCGTGGGGGTGGTCTCGCTCAATTGCGAGGTGAACGGGGGTGCCCTGGACGCGGCGGGGAGTCAGAAGCTGGCCCGGTTGCTGAAATTGTGCGATGTGATGAACCTGCCGGTTTTGCAGTTCATCGATGTTCGTGAGTTCCCCTTGTGCATCGACAGGCCTCCAGTTTCTTGCCCTTGGCTCGTGTCTTTGCTAATCCGAATCCATGGATATAGCCGGCTACGCCATCGGCACCGTCGCCGAACGCACCGCCACAATGCGCTGGGGCGTGGAACTGGGCAAGACCTACTTCACCACCACGACGCCGCTGTTCAACGTCATCGTCCGCCGCGCCTACGGGGTGGCCGGGGGTCTGATGCTCGGGGCCCGCGACCCCGTCATGCAGGTGGCCTGGCCCTCCGGGCAGTGGGGGTCCCTCCCGCTGGAAGGGGGCATCGAGGTGGCGCACCGCCAGGAACTGCGCGAGGCGGAGCTGCGCGGCGAGAAAGCGGCGCGGTATCGGGAACTGGAGGAGGAATACCGCCGGTTGATGAATCCGGTGCGCACGGCCAATGCGTTCGGGGTGGAGGAAATCATCGATCCTAAGGATACACGGAGGGTGTGCTGCGCGTGGGCGCGGCAGGTGTATGGGACGCTGATGGCGGAGCGGTTGGCTGATCGGGCGGCGGGGAAGATACGGCCGGTGTTTGCTTGATGTGATGTGTAGGTTTGAGGTGGTGCTTGTATCTACGCTACAACGCAGCATTGGATAGATTTCTACAGACCTTACTACCACTCGCTGTTTTTCCCTGGTCTACACAATCGCCCAGTCAACCACGGAAGACTCCTCAGGAGCCGATCCTCCCGTCGATAGTACTCGATTCGACATCCTCCACCTCATCGTCCTCGTCCGAACTCGCCAAATCCACCCACTCATGCTGATATATAGCCTTCTCACTCGCCGGATACCCCCTCGCGCGCAGCCAGCCGAAGATCCCACGCGCCACCTCCGACAACACCTCAGAAGCCAGTGATCTCCGAATCAAGCACGAATGAGCCCTCCTCTCGCACATCACGACCCCCCGGCTCAACCCCACAATCCATAAAAATCCTTACCTCCACATCCTCAAGCTCCGCACCACCCACAAGCCCCCATCTCCACCCCCGATACTCGAGGCAATGACACCCACACGACGCATGCAGCCGCACCTGCAACTCAGCCTCAACCAGCGCCGTCACTCCCAGAGGTTTCCACGGATAAACCGGCGCTCTGCTCCACCCTCACCCCTCTTCCCCTCCCCCTCCCTCGTAACCGGAACTAGTAAGAAAGAGTAACCGAGCCTCATCCTCACGACGGATCATATCTCCATCGCGCACCCCCGGCTTCAGCATAACGAATGACGCCTCCCTCCCAACCCACGCAGCAGCATGCAACTCAACCGCAGCCATCCCATTCCGCACATCCCGGAGAATGGATCCAGCGATGCCTACAATGAACGCACCGAGCCATAATCCCCCGAGTCGGGGGGCGCGACGCGCGAGGAGGTTTAGTAGTGCGGGGATATCGTTGGCCTGGAGGAGGGGAGTAAGGACAGCGAAGGCGGGGTTGAGCCATGCGCTGACGAGATGGCATTCGATTTCGGGATTGAAGAATGTGCTGTGTAGGAGGGAGCGGAGGCTCTATGGGTTTGTGCTGAGGATCATGAAATATGGGAGGAGGGTGTGGTTCGATATGGGGTTGTGAGATTCGTTGCTTGTGGGGGCTTGGGCGGGGGTGGGTAGTGGGGTTGGTAGTGGCAGTGGTGGTAAAGGGGTAAGGGATCGTTGAGGGGTTGGGAGGGTGATTGCTGTTTCCTTTCCCTGGAGGAATGGGATGTAGAGTGCTGCTGCTAGGGCTGCTGCGGTTTGGGCGTAGAGATGGTGGTGGGTGCTGAAGCGGGTGAGGTATTGTAGGGCTGTGTGGGATGACGGTGGCTGTAGCTGGTCGAGAGCAGGCACAGAGGGGGGCTGGGGCGTTAGGGCAGGGCTATGCGGCATGCTTTTGCGAGGCAGACGGACCACGGAGACTGGTAGGTTTGGTGGTTGTACTCTGTTGTCCAGTGACTGGAACTATCAGATCCAGAGAGGATGGACCTCCACCATCTTGCTTCGTCGGCGTCGGCTTCGTAGCCCAGCTCGATTGCAGCGGCGTATTGGCCGCTGGGTTTCCCATCGGATTAATTCTCGTCAGGCGGAGAAAGGTGAACCGTACACCCAGCCACCCTCTGCATGATCTCCGCCCACTGCGCAGACAGGATATAGGCCCAAGCCAGGAACAAGACGGCAATGTAGTTGCCTTCGTCCTCGTTCAGAATGCCCTGCGTACCCGGCCACTGCGTCAAAGGTGTCGAGTCGGACAGATGCACGGTGAGTGAGCTCTGCACGCCTACTACAAGCTGGGCGGGCATGGCTTTAGGTGGTAAGGGGCATTGTTCGGGGTCTGAGGAAGTCCGCCAGATTGAGCGGCAGCTCGAGACAAGAGCGTACTGGCCTTCTTGAGATTCCTTTTCGAGTAATTTCAAGGGAATCGGGGTATCTTCAGGCAGAAGGTTGCATCCGAGGAAGGAAGGCGTGCGCTGCAGAAGGCCCTTCAGATCAAGACATTCCCGCGAGAGGAGGGGGAAAGTGTCCGGGGGACTGAGGTAGGAGGAGTCAGATCGCCCACGTTTACAGCACTACATGAATGATACAGAAGCTGAGGTCCGCGAAGCTGGTGTTTTGCACTGCGACTTGCATATGTCTAATTTCCTATGGAACGAAGAGGCAGCGCGAGTCATGCTTATTGATTTCAGCCGAGCAGAAATTCTTCGAAAAGGTAAGAGATCAGATGACCTCTCCGCAGATCAACGCCCCAAGCAGCGTCCATTCACCGAGAATGTACACACTGCCCCCGCTATGCATGCTAGCAGGGTTTGATATACATATGGTGATGTTTTGGTCTGTAGAAACCTGGGCTTGGGAGACTGGCGATGCACATTCCTGGGCTCCCACACGAGCTAACCTTCCGATCTCGCAATGGTAAATGGGGATTGCGTTTGGATCTGTTTCGGCATTAGTATACGACTTTGCTGTAGTGGTTTGGGACCTGACCTCCAGGCACAGGTATACACCTGCTCGTTTCCAAGTCGCGACATTGGAACGTCCGTTTTTGTAGCTGTGTATAAAGAAGTTCAAAATTCTTGCATGTTGAACACTTGTGATCATCATGTTTGTAGACGTTGTAGTAGTGCCCTTATATTTTCTAGCGATCAGCCACAGGCCCCCTACCTAAGAAGGAAAAAAAGTAAGGTGAGGCCCCCAGCCCTAGTGAGAAGCCCATGGTTTTACGAAGGTCATGGAAATTCTCACATAAACTACATTTAAGCAGTAAGTGCTTCAGAAGCAACAATCTAAGGCTTGTACCCTATGACCATGAAGCAAAGCCATAATATTTGTCTATTAAACACTCTCACGAAGCAATGCTATAGTCCACAGCAAAACTCAGGGATTTGGTTCAACTTGGAGAAAAAGCATGTAGTGAGCAGGCTAGCAATAATTTCTCTTCGTTCATAAGGACCCGGTGACTGTGTATGCACCCGTTGAGACAGGCCTTCCATACTCCCAGCGTTGTTTATGGCGGGTGGAGCACTTGGGAATGATCAGTTGAGCCGAAAGCAATCTGCTCTACAGAGCCGTGACTGTGCTAATTCTCTTTGCAGTCATTAATATATTGGCGTGTTATTATTTGTTATAGAAATTAATAAAATATAATAAAAGTCTCAATATTGACAGGAATAACGCGGCAAAATAATTTGAATGTTGCTATTTTAATCTAAAAATAAAGCTGTTCAAATTATAAAAATGGAATGAAGTAAGAGATCTGGGGTATCAAAGCTAGTCAACACCGCTACTAATATAGTCATCCAGAAATATTATAATATTAGTTCTTGAATTTGAGTACTTTTGTTGTCTTAAGAGTTACGACCTCATAAGCTTATGATTACAGAGAAGACTGTGACAGAACATGAATATTGTAAACTAAGTGGTATTCCAGCTATAGTGAGGCTGGTGTGTACTACACATATGTTACTTTGTAGAACAAACAAAAAGAGTAAACCTTGACTAGGAGTGTGGCGATGATGGCTTCGAGGCCATAGAAGCATCCGTGATCTTAGTATGCCCTGTTAGACGGAGAGTGGGTGTTTATTCACAAGTCCATATGTCTAGTACTGGCTGATCAAGCCTGGTGCTTCATTGTCTTACGCATGTCTCTTTCCCCGGATTCGACTGGAGCACGTTCATGAACGTCATGAACGTCATGAACGTCATGAACGTCATGACTTCTCGGGCGATCTCTCGAGGAATGGTACCGTACTGACCAAGTATGCTTGCATCCTGACAGCTGCCAGGAGCCGAAAACGTTGCAGGGGTGACGACATCCATCTGAGAGTGCTCAACGAGCAATCCACAACATCACCATAGACGTCTGGTACAGTATAAAACATAGGTTTATCGCGGATAGCCAACCACCCCGGCCACTCATAACCACCGCTGGAACTACCCTTGGACGAACACCCGTTCAATCTCTGCTTCTATTGCTTTTGCAAGTCACGCACACCTCCCATCCACAATCCGTCATCATGGATGAGTCTGCTACCTCGGGGACCCGGCCCTACTATTCCCACCTCATCCAGCTCAACAAGGACAACGGCGCGGGCGACTGGCACCGCTGGCTGGTGGTCGCCGCCAGTCGCTCGGACATGATCACGTTCTTCAAGGGGCTGCAGAAATACACCAAACAGAAGGACGCCAAGATCACCGAGGTTAAGCCGGTGAATCTTGCCTGGTGGAACTTCGACGCCCGGGAAGGCTTCAATGTGAGGGAACTCGTCTGTCAGATCTACCGGCTGAATCCGTCGTGGTATGGCAACATCAAGGAGCTGAACGATAGCCGGGGCAAGATCTGTGTGACGGTGCAGGATGATGCGGGCGGGCGGCGCTGGCCGATCCTGCCGCCCCAGGACACCTCCATCGCTGGTATCTTCTCGAGTGATGATGATGTGTGAATGCGTAACCAAGGCTGCGCGATGTCTGTTGGCATTTGAATGAATGGGCCTAGTCTACATTGCCTCTGCCCGAAGAAGCTCGTTGTCTCGGTGCCTGTCAAGACACACGTCTGGAATCTGTGAAGCATGTTCGCTAGTCGTATCCATAATAAGGTATCACTTGGCCTGGAGCAAGGGAGAACATTCCTCATCGTACATTTGTACCGTAGATCTCTAAGGCGGAATAGACTTCCCCTACGGTTGGGTTGGCAAGCCACGTACTCATCTCGGGCTACTTTTACCATTCTTCGAAGTGGGGGAAGAGGTAGTGGTGCAGTAGCCATTCTCGATCCAGATGACCCTTTTTCTGGGTTTCAGTCTGGCCACAACACCGCTGCTGATGGAACGCAGGACAGGGTTACATGACGCCTTCGATTTCAAAGAAGCGATCCCATTACCACGGATTGATCTCGGTCTCAGCGATCTCGCTGTGTCCTCATACTGTACAGCATCCGATGTAACTCTAGACGCGGGATGGGACATGATCGCATTGACTGCCGACCTGGCTCTGAATCCGGTGGTTGCTCCGGACTCTGTAGGTAACCGGACTTGTTGCTGCCTTCACGGCGACCACTTGCTAGCTTTAGTCTGGTTCGATCCAAGACTCGTGCATTGGATCTCGATCTCATTTAGAGTGAGTTTTAACCTTAAGATGTGAGCCCCTCAAGGACAAGGATGTAACCTAAAAGGGCCACGCTGGCTGTCGCCGCATTCGGCGGGAACATGGATACACTATGCTGTAAGTATAAGTCAAGTGGATCTGGGCACTCTGGGACGGGACTTGAGGACTTGATATGGATCCCATAGAAAAGAACTAAGTTGATGAAAACTCAAATTCCGAACTCAATTCCGAAGTCAACGGCACTGGCAGGTGTCAGTTTGCGGAGGAGGTAACCCAAAGGTTTTTCCAGGTGGTAATCCAAGTGGTAAGGTAACCCTAAGTCCCGCCCCGGAATTGGAACCCGGACTGATCCCCGCAGCCGCAGCCGCAGCCGCAGCCGGAAAAAGCTTGGCAACCTAAATTACTATTACGGAAACGTCACGGAAGTGTCATCATCATGAGTGGTCCATCAGTGGTTCGTTCCCGTATATTCAAGAAAAGGTTATATTGAACGACAGTGAAAGCTTGGAACCGGATACTCAATACTACCTTCAAGCCAGAAAACATGCATACAAAGGAAATACACTCCACACACTCCACTGGAAGTTTGTTTCGGCATTCACGTCGTCATGCATTCTGTTCTGTCCGCTAGCGGAGGTTGCATTCGCAGGGTGTGGTCAGGTCAATGCCGCCCAACACTTCCCGAGAGTGTGGGAAAAGCAAAAGACTAGCCTAAAGTAATAAGTAGCTGGACCAACTGCTCCTGCCTGGTCCGGGATAGCGACAGAAATTCCATCTCCCAAGCCGTTGTTGCGCCTTGTATCTCTTCCATCACGACATCGGGGAACATCATCATGCACTTCTCCCATGCCTCTCTCGCCATCGTGGGCGTGGTGCTCACCGCGGTTCACGCGCAGAGCACCGACAAATGCCCGACGCCCGTCGTGGTCCTGGATTCGAACAGCCAGCCCCACTGCTGCCCGTCCGGATACCAGCACAACGGGGTGGACTGCGTGACCTGCGTGCCGCCGGACCTCTACTACAACCCGCGCACCCAGAAGTGCGAGAAGCCCTCGTGCCCAGACGGGCAGGTGTTCTTCTGGTCGCTGAACGGCTGCGACCACACCGACCGCTGCCGGCCGTGGGGCTACTACAACGGGCGCGACTGTGCGCCCAACCCGTACTGCCCGGAGGACCTGTACTGGAATCCGTTTGAGCTGAAGTGCTCCCCAACCCCGTGCCAGCACGGCCAGGTGTACATGGTGGAGCGCGACAAGTGCGAGGAGAAGGCTTTCTGCGACCCGGACGAGAACCAGGTCTACCTGCCCTTCGAGAACCGCTGCGAGCAATGTCGCCCGGACGAGTACCCAAGCCCGACGGGCTGTCGGCTGCGGCCCGGCTGCGTGAACCCGGAGTACTACTACCAGGGCCCCGAGAAAGGCTGCGCCCCCTGCGCCGAGCCCAACACCTTCTGGAACGGCAAGGAGTGCGAGAAGATGCCCGACTGTCCGCCGGGCGAGCACCGCGTCGGCCGCGTCTGTGTGCCCAACAACTGCGACATCGGCTGGTACTGGGATAAAAAAAAGACCGCCTGCCAGCCCGTCAAGCCCTGTGAGCTCGGGTGGATTTTTGACGGCGTCGAGGACTGCATGCCCATCAAGTACCCCCCCGAGGGTGGCCCCATCTGCTACGTCAAGTGTGATCGCCCGGGCCCGCTCGACAAGCCATGAAAGGTGGCTTGCCGATTTCCTTTTTGCTCGTGAATTGGCCTCCGGCTGCTTGATGCCGGCCGTGTATCATGCTACCCTCTTGGAAGGGAGGGGGATGGTGTGGGCGGTATTATGAGAACCATTGGCATAGATTGGACAGAGCTGCTGGGTGGGAAAGTGTTTGAGAGGCCAGAAAAATGGTCGTATAGGTTATCTTTGCATATGATCACATTGGAATTGAATCTTTTGGTCTCCGACTGAACTGCCTTCTGGTAAAACTACTATAATGCAGAGTCACCCGCCATTGTAGGGTTGAATTCGCACATGTTTGCACAGCGGCTGGTTGGCACAGCACTGGAGTACTGTACACCCCCGCCGCACTTACCTGCATCAACGGACATAGTCAGTCTGAATTAGCCACAATCGCTAAGCACTACACTGCTGAGTGGTCAAATGAAAGATCTGTAGGCATGATGAAGATTTAGCGACGAGCCTTGGACTGAATCCGGGGACTGTTTCAAACCCGGTCTTCATCAGTCCATGCACCTCTTTCCTCATTCTTGTGTTCATGATCCAACCATCTCAAGTGAACCGTCAAGGTGACATCAACAATGTGAAGTGAAGTCATCGAATTCACCCAAAGACAGAGTCGCATTGGGGTTGCAATAGCCAGGGTGGGCCACCTTTCCCACAAAGCCAGGACTTGTACGCTTGCAGATATCTGGACACTCTCCACTCTCTCTCAATATGCAGTCAATGACGCGCGTAGTCTGCAGCCGCGATCATACTTTGCATTCCCACTGCATTCGGAGCCGAGCCTCGTGCCATGGGCCATTATTTGAGCAAATGTGCTCTGCTTTTGTCCAGAACGGTGAGAAGAAGGAGTGGGATTTTACCCCCCTCCGTCCCCCAGCCCTAGCCCCAACAACGTCCTTTACCTGCCCGCCCCCCTCAGAACGATCATTCGCGTTTCTTGTGCATTGATTCGGTGCCCCCCCCACACGCACAACAATCATGCGCTTCAACGCTTTTATATTCTCCGCCCTGTGCGTCAGTCCCCTGGCCTGGATCGATGCCGTCTCCGCAGCGGACAGCTGTAAGGCGCTCGCCGACGAGACGGTCACGGACCTCAGCGACTGCTGCAGCGGAACCCTGCCCCGCAACGAGACGGTCAACTTCAACCTGGTCGAGATCTCCTGCGGCCAGCGGCCGGCCTCGACCGGCGCCATCTCTCGCTACAAGATGAACTCGGCCCTGAACTGCGTCAGCCTGATCCTCCGGGGTGAGCGCGCGCTGGTGGCCTCATGGGACCCCGTCCGCAAGGAATGCTGGCACACCAAGGCCGGCGACCCGCCGCTCACCAGTGCCCCGGGGTTCCTGCTGATGCGGTATCAGGAGGAGATGGAGCAGGAGGACTGCACGATCCGCGTCAAGCAGGTCGAGGACAAGTGCCGGCAGGACATGGCGGCGGAGCAGACCAAGTGTGATCAGGACAAGGCTGGGGACAAGGCCAAATGCGACCAGGATAAAACCACCCTCGAGAATGAATGCAATAAGAAACTCGAGGACCAGAAACAGTCCTCCAAGCAGCAGTGTGATCAGGACAAGGC